ATGTTTTTCCGCGATGTGATGGCCAAAAGTCGACAGAGCAGTGAAGTACAGAAGGGGCGGGTTGGGTTGAAGCATTTACTTTGCAGCTTTGCTCTTTTGTAGAGGGATGGCTAAATACGCTTAAATTGTGGTTCTTTGAGAGATTGACTATAAAGCGAAAGCGGGAACGAGATTTAAGTAGAATAACAGGTTTGAGTCAGAGAAACGCCAAAAGAATACAAGAAAAGACAAACTGAAAATATTTATTTCATTATTTTGAAGTACTTTACTATTCACGATTAAGTTTAAAAGTTGTACCTGCTTGTTCAATCATCAACCTTTTTCACAAACCTTTTTTAATTTTTTTCGGAAATCAGTGTTATAATTTCTTTCTTTGTTAAGCAGAACTTTTTTAGAATGTGAGTAAGTAGATGCTGTGGTCTTCTCCCAAAAGCCCTAAGCGCCCGAAAAAGTGTCCAAACCTGATAAATCACTCTCAGTATCTGAAATTTAATTCAATTGGCGCCATTAAATGTGATAATTAAATACGTGCTTCTGTCCTCGTTCCCGCATACAGAGAAAAGTTGGCTACACAGAGCGAACCGTCAAATTAGGTAAACGAGTTGGATGTAAAGAATGGGGAATCGATATCAATACATAAAAGCCAAATATAATGTATGTACAACACGGTTATCTGCGATGAAGTTACACATCATTGGAGATGGCTACGTTCATTTCAGCATCGCGACGCGATGATGCTACTGCTTTTCCCCGTTGCGTCCTTTGTTTTGGTTATATTTAGCGGAATGCGTGAGATATTCGAGGGAGGAATATTATTTTATTTTTTCACGCTAACAAAATGCAATGTGCAAGTTGGGTTTATAGTTTTTGAATAATTAAGTAAACATTGCTTGAAGTACTTATCGATGATTTGATGAAAAATGTTTACAACGAGCTTCACATTTCGCATTTTGAATAATCAGATGTTGGTTGTATGAATTAATCCGAATTATTTTTAGGAAAAACTTGGATTTATTAAAATCATGTAAGCGGATTAAATGGTAATACTCGACCATGTTGCGGAAAGTTTTTGTTGCGTTTTTGTGAATTTATTTTGCAGTATTATAAGCATATAAATCATTTGTTTGCATATTTATTAACTACTATCAAATCTGAATACTTATATGGTAGTTGTGGTACCCACCCATCACATGATATTTCAATTTGTTTCGTTTCGTGTAGTCATAATTACGTCAATGTCTTAAAGAAATGCAATGTCGAAATCTTAAAGGGGTTTGCATTCGTATTGCAGTATACCTTAAGGAAATTCGCTACTCGAATAAAGATTCAGACGCAAGCTTGAATAATCTCAAGCAAAACGGTCTCTACAACATCTCGCATGTTACAACATAACATTAACGCAAGGAAGAAACTTTCATCTTTCTAAAGCAGAACTTTACTAAATGAACGTAATGGCATATGTCGTAGTCATTGGGCGTAATGCGTCATTCCGCGGAAAGCCTAATCTTTGGCCGTACTGCCGGCAGAAGCTGTAATCAAATGAATATTCCTTTGTTTGAATGAAATTTTACGTCATTTCAAGGATTGCCCACTTAACTTTAGTCAAACAAAGTAACCGGTTAAACAAACTAGTACATGTTACAGCGTTTGACGGAAGTGTATTTAGTCATTTGTTGAAAGGTCTTGAAATGTTTGAAACTTTCTGTAGAAATGTAAATTTTTGGTAGAAGAAAAGAGAATCAAAAAAACAAAATATTTTTATTGTAGCAAAATATTTGCTTCGTTTATTTGGAATAATGTAAACATATAATATTATAAAATCATACAAAAAACGGTAAGTACATGACCTAAACAACAGATTAAAATATATTTTTTGCCTTCGGGTAAATTTAACAAAAATAAAAATATATTCTTTAGAAATATCTTTTGCAGTCTAAAATATGTACAACTGAAATAAAGGTGTATTTTGAGGTTAGAGGTTTTTTAGCATCTTTGTTCTTCATATAATTATTTGTTAATATGTCACAATAAAAATATTTTTTGGCTTTTCTTTTCTTCTACCAAAAATTTACATTTCTACAGACAGTTTTAAACATTTCAAGACTTTTCAACAAATGACTAAATACACTTTCGTCAAACGCTGTAACATGTACTGGTTTAACCGGTTACTTTGTTTGATGAGAATTAAGTAAGCAATCCCTGAAATGACGTAAAATTTCAGTCAAACAAAGGAATATTCATTTGGTTACAGCTTCTGCCGGCAGTACGACCAAAGACTAGGCTTTCCGTGGAATGACGCATTACGTCCATTGACTACGACACATATACTACTTATTATTAAATATTTTATTTCGTTTAATAGAACTTGTGTAATAGAACGGATGTTTAGATGTAAAATATCCAAAGTTCTAGACTTAATCGGTAATGTTTTATTTTGAGAGAAATTTATTTTGCAGTTTTTATGTTGTTGCGATGTACAAATGTAATTTTTAATTGTAATTGGTTAGTGAAAAAAACGGAATCCTTTTGAAACGTCGAACCTCCGTGGCAATGGTATGATTTAATGCCTAGCGTGAATTATCGCGGCAATTAATCAAATAAAATATTTCGCTTTGAAATTTGCGTAATATCTTCCTGGGCCCTATCTTCTAATTGAAGCGTTTTATCAGGGGAGTTGCCCTCCATTAATTATCCGATTTCCTTGGGCTGGGTGTTTATGTTCTTCTTTTATGTGTGGATCTGCCAACAAAGCCATCGGAGGGAATTTATTTAGACGCTTCGATATCTCTGCGTGAGCTCATCATACATGAACGCTATTGCGACCGAATGACAGGAATATATCCATAAATAAGGATTTCAAAAGTGATATCCAGCAGTGTTTATTTTGCGAGTGGTGCTGCTGGTCGAGATCACGTGCTGTGAATATGACTCCACTGATGAGCGCCCCGCGGTCAGATACTAACACTTTTGAGCAATGCCACGTCTGGAACATCCGATAACTGGTCGAAAGACTTGCACGATTCGCTCGTAAGGAACGAACGTTCATGACTATATATATGCTCGAGGCCGTTAAGCCGAGGGACTTCTGTTCTATTCAAACTAAACAAACAGGAAGATTATCAATTTCGAAGCTATCTTGTATCAGATATGCATTAGACTCCGGTTTTGGACCAAATTGATAACCGCAATAACAATTAAACCAGACTGTGTTGCAATAATGAAGCTGTTAGTGTGGTGAAGTCTGGGACCCGGTCTGGGAACTAGTGACTTGTTATAATACTGTTAAACTACACTTAGATTCATATCTATCCACTAACTAGCACATTTTGCATTATCCAACACTTTCCAAAAAAGTTTTACTGTTGAAATCAATAAATCTTAAAAAATAATTTTCTACTCCCACATCTAAAATACGGGTTATCGTATGTTTCCATGGCGCTAAGTGACCTTTTATATACATCTTGACTAGAATTGGCTAGAATATAGGAACTCTAATCTGACTAATATGCGTTTTTTGAGCGATTGAGCTCTATTTTTTTATTGTTTACCACGTCTGTTTCCAAGACAGTAAGTTGTATTTACTCGTTGGTAGGTATCCCAAACTCGTCGGTAAGTATTTTGTTTATTGTTGCTAAATCGGTAAGCATTCATAAATGTCCTTGAACGGCAAAATACTTTGCCATTCTAGAACATTTTTTAGATATTTTATTTAAAAAAAGTAACAAACATCAATCGCGCAAAAAATGTGATAAGCATCACAAACGTTAAGGACTTACCGATCAATTGAAGTCGTCGCTTCGCTTCGAAGCAAAACAATTGTCTTCGAACGGTAAAATGTCCTTACCGTTCTTGATGCTTAATATACTAATTAGCCTGTCTACCGGACTCTTTTGTAACTATGTAAACGCTAGTTAAATTTTTGTTTTCATGAATTTTGCTTAACTTGAAAGTAATCGTTGCAGTAGGTATCCTAAAAAATCTTATACAATATATGACCGATAGCATTTTTATGCCCTTGTCGCCATACGGCTCGACCTGTATTGGCGCGGCCATAAAAATGTTGATACCGGTCTAATATGGAAAATAGCTATTGTATTTCTGAATTTAATCAGGGCTGAGTTTTTCACAAATTTCACAAAATTGTTTCAAACTGCTTGCTTTTTTCGTTGTTTTCGCCTTTTGTGCTTATTTCATACACTTAATTTCCATATTGAGGTTAATCCAATCTAAATCCAAAAGTACAATTAAAACAAAATATTTTCAAGATATACCGACCTCGTCGCAAGTTAGTATATACCTATAGTACTAATACTATAGTACAAAAGTAATAATATTGATTTCTTATAAAGTACACATCACTAATAATTCTGATAATATAAATTGTTTATTTCTTTACCTATTACAATTTTTTTAATGCCCCCTCCCATATTTCATCAAAACCTCTAAGCTATTACTTTATGCCTGAAACACCTCAAATTTCCGTTTTACGACTTCCTATACTTTTGAATTGAGATCGTTTTCTAAAAGACACTGATCACCACCGTATTTTTTACATTGAAATTATTTTTTAATTTAATAATGACTCCGTGGCATACTAGTAAGTTATTTTTTGCAATTATGTATATTTTTAATTAACACCAACGCGTAAACTTCACTACTTATGAGAAACAATATTGTTCTCAAGGTCCAAAATCGCTAAATTCACATCGCCAACAAGCAAAAAAGAGTATTGGAAAGACGCAATTTCCGTTCTGAAATTAAATTCATGCACATATTCCATTTTAAAATCAAGCCCGAAAGCATCCTCTAAAACCTGTCCCAATTAAAAAACGAATGTTATCTAAATACAATTTTACAAAATACTTATTCTCACTATTGTATGATCTCTTCACTCCATTTAAATACATTTATATACTTTAAAACAAACAAAAAAATTATTATCACCAGAAAAATCGCTTTTTTCATTTCTAAAATTCTTTCAATTATTTATTACCCACTATAGTAACTTAAATTCTGCACAAAATTATGCACATAAACATTTTAGTGAAACTATAAAACAAATACAAATTTACAGTTCCTTAACCTTAACAGCTTTAAAATTAATATTTCTGTGACGACGCAAAACTTGAATCGTAAACCCAACTTTCACATTAAAAAAAAAATAGTTTTCATTTGATTCACTAATAACTGGAATAATTCCAAATAAATAACTCTAACCAATTTTCTAATAAAAAAATCTATTGTTTTTAAATTACACTCTCTGACACATTTAAATCACTATCAGTCCGTTCTTTAATAGCTTGCATTAAATAAGGAATTTTTTCAAAGTCTGGTAAACGTTCCCACACTTCTAGGCACACGGGAACTGCTTGACACCCACTTGCCTCTAACGCTCTAATTGCCATATTTGTACTACTTCTCATTTTTTTATTCAAAGTATATCCAAAATGTCGTAAAGCTAGAATAGCGACCCTGAAATAAAACCGTTCAATACCACAACCAACAAAAGTAATAAATAAATTACAATTGATGATCAGACGGCACTTCAATATCTTCAACAAATTCCAAATCATCTGAGTAGTTCATTGCGACCGGATATCCACCTTTTCTAAATATAACCACATGATCTACACAAAAATTATTAATCACGTTGCATAATTATAAAGATTAATATTTACCAACTTGCAGTCCCATTTTTGAATAAAGATCCGTTTTGACGTATTTTTCCCCTCCTAAAGCTTTATATAGAGCCCCTTCTAATGGAAAATCCAAATTCTGCTTAAAATGCTTTATCAGATCTTTGGGGTCAAATTTTGTTGACAACAGACAATTCATTTCAGGTTTAAATAACTTGATACACTGCCAAATTGTGGCGTAATTTTCAAAATCAGACTTGAACCCTATTAACATAGTAAATTAATACACAATAATCAGTGGCGTAACATACATTTCTTATTGAACAGGGCAAGTAAAAAATTTTCGTTGAGACATTTCGTCAAAACATCTAGTTTGTAGATATCTAGCAAACATAAAGCAGCGGCGAATTTAATCCAAATTATTTCCTTCCTGTCGCAATTTGCAATATTCTCACTTCTTTCAATGAGGTTTTTTAGAGTGTCCCAATGAACGGGTCGATATTCACTCAAAGCTGTAGATACAGCAATGCTGTAAATATATAAAGCGTCTCCTTTAGATATCAGCTTAGGGTCCTCATATACTTTTTTCGACATATAATCCAACATGAACTTGTGATGATAATTCTGAAAAAAATTCAAATCAATTTATTGAACAAAAAATGTAAAGACTTAACATACAACGCGTCCAAATTTTCGTAGAATGTAAATCGACTGTTTAAAACCCAAGTCCTTATCAATGACGTAATTCGCGCACGAATCGTAAAACGTCTCGTTGTAAAAATATGTACATTTCTGACTATATCGGCTGATTAATTTTGTCAAAGTAGTCTCCACCTCATTGAAACTCAATTCATCTAAATGTACAATGAGTGAATCAATAGCTCTATTCATCAATGGTCTAAACATCTCATCGGGTTCCATATCACAAATTGACCAAACTATACTTTTGGCGGTTTTAACATCAAATTCTCGATGTCCCATCAAAGCATTCACCAGTTTTTCGATTGATTCAATGTTCAAAGTAATTCGCGAAGCGAAATACAAACAATCAGCCAAATGCGCTGCATTATCGTAGTCCATTTTCAACGGCAAATGAATTTCGAAAACCATAGGTAATGCTATTTTTAGAGCCTCGACTAGAGGAGAAGACTTGGACTGAGTTAACAAAAATTCGAGAAAGATAATTTGTTGTAAATTAAGATTGTTGACGTTGTGTCTGATTAATTGCAAAAGAACTTGGAAAATAGTTGAGTCAGCGGGAACTCCGACATATGAAACAACTTTCAACGCTTCAATTATGTCACTCAACTCAATACTTGCAGCTTGAGTGCGCAATTTGCGACATAATTTCCGAAAATCTCTATGGGACAAAATTTCATTTGTGGACATTTCTGAACTGCAATTTTAATAAAAAAATATTTTTCCTGTCGACAACTATGGTTTCTACATACTTTCCGTTCTTTTGTAAAGTAAATAAGCTTCGCAAAGCTTGAATAACGTGTTTGTTGTTCATGATATCCTGATGTTGCGAAACCAAGTCCAAAATATTTTTGGTACTGTTGGCATTTTTGAGATTATTTAGAAGAAAGTCGGTACTTTGGGCATATTTCGTGGTCAGTTCTGATGTGAGGTGATTTCTGGAAAAGTTGCAAAAAAGTCGAGGTCCCCCTTGATACAACCTTCTCATTTGGGTCGTGATGGCCCCCTTGATTGCTTGTGCCATTGCCCTGCAACTTAAAATAGTTTATTGGCTGATCGCCCTCGTATTTAAATAAACGTCCTTCCTCGCCGTTTTGAATTTGGCGCTTAGCGCGCATTGTTTCAATTGGTTGGCATGAGATGGCAGTTTGGAAAAATTGTCTCGATTGGTTGAAAAAGTGCCACTTTGTATGAAACAAATATGTCTGCAAATGACTAGTACAAAACAATAAAAATAGCAAGTTGTTAAACAATCGTGCATTGTTAATCAATCGTTGTGGTTGTCAAAGTATTGCAAGTGTGTGATAATTTGGGTTTTTACGGCAAAGTCACGCTCATGGATGAAAATGTTAACAAAAGACGTTACGAAAAACTGGGTTTTAAACCTCAAAAGGAGAATGTCTACAACAAATTACTGCCCTATGCCGAAAAACTCGACGAGGAATCGACGCAATTATATGCCGATATTAAAACTAACCTTGTCAAATCGGTTTTAGCACGTGAAATGAGACCAGGATGCGCCTTATGGACCTCACGTTTAAACAAGTAAGCCCAGAAATGTTTGCTTCTTCTTAATTCATACCATCTTCAGCATCATATACGTTTTTCATTTATAATTTTTTTAAATAATTTCGATTTTCCCAAAACTCAAGGGGACGTCAAATGTACTTTTGACAGACTGATCAATTGTCAAAACCACGTGACCGGCCATAGGCGGCGCGTATATTTTTCAAACAGGGGACTGATTTTTTTTTTTTTTTCAGATACATTAAAATTTATGGAATGAAATTTTCAAAGGAAGACCATATTTGTTTCATTAAACTGTTTTACGATCTGCTAACCATTCCTGATTTAGAACCAACCAGAATTAATAAATGCGCTTCTACGTTAACCCAATTGCTCAAGTATAATTTCAATTTTAGTAATGTTAGCTTAATATTAATTGTTTAATGATTACAGGAAGAAGTATTTGATATCTAGAGATGAATTGCAGTTAGAATGGCGACCTTTGTATGACTTGTGTATTAGAGTAATGGAAAAGAGCAAAACCGATATAGGAATGTATCGTTGCTTTTCAACTTTAGAGGGGACACTAATGAATGTTATTAGACTAGCCAGAATGTAAGTTTTGTGCAATAATGCATCATGACCAATTGAGTCACAAAAACAAGTCCTGAAAAATAATTGTTTGCCTTGAGATCGTTAAATAATACAAGTTGACCATTAAATATACGATTTGTCAACAAGAAATTACCACCTACGATTTGAAATTTTAGGAAAATTGCGTTTTCATTTTGTTTGTAACTAGAATTTTCAGAAGTAATTTTGTATGCCTAAGGTTAGTTACCCCTTGTTGTTGACGGTTGACGTTTTCTGTCAACTATCAAATTATCATACAAGCTGACAGGTGACTTAACCTAAATCTTGACACTAGTTACGATATCTTTTGTTTGTCACCAGAAACCAACCTAACCAAATTTATGGCAACCTATTCACGAATATCCCTAAATCCTAGGAAGTAATTTCTTGTTAATACAATATTTTTTTCATGTCACTATTTTTTGGAAAAAGCCTTAAGGGTCAGTTTCATAATTGAATTAAAGAGACTTTAAAGTTAATGTTGGTTTAGAACACAACATTTTTGTCAGGAAGTCCGTAGTAATCAGCACATTCTAAACAACATTTAATTTAAAGCTCGTTTAAATTCGATTATGGAAATGGACCTTAATTTATAAGAATATAAAAATTTTGTCGCTCCAGAATAAAACTTTTCCATCTTTCTTCTCACCTTCATGAAAAATGTAGACAATCGCTCCATCCCTCTACCACCAATAAATTGATATGCACATTTCATTTTGTATTTACACTCCCAAATATCACATAGCATGTATAGCAGAAAAGTTATGAATAGGCAATATTGTTTAATATTTCAGATGAATATTTAAATAGATACTTATTCGCCTCCTCTTTGTAGCTATTTCCCTGCATCAGCCACTCAGGAAATATTAGACGAATTCAGACCTCAGTTATGTCCCATGAGCAGTCCCACAATCCTCTCAGCCATCCAATACCTTGAAATTTTTTTGCCTATATGCGTCAAGCCTGAGGAAGCTGCCATTAGTTACGACTTATGGTTTGAAGAGCTCATGTCTCTATGGAACGCTTGCCATAACGCAAGTGCGTGGGAAGATGTGAGCGATTTTAAGTTTTAGTACAAAAAAATTACAATTAATTTTAGCATATGATGTGGATGATTGCTCGACTATCCAGCTACACCATGTGTTACATCAATTGGGAACCCTACATCCCTATGATGTTCGTGCGATTTTCGCGCAGTTTTCAATTACCTGTAGCCTATAGACAGAAACAAACCGGCAAACAATACAAAATCGAAATTTCTGCAATGTCAATTTGGATAACATGCGCCTTAAGTGGTGATAAAAATTCGACTTTCTTCCATTTGGAAAAGTTCATGCAAGCCCTGGAATCGTATTACTATCCAGCTAATATGGGCCGATGGTCGATGAAATTGAGGGAGTTACTGCGAAAGCTGTCTTATTATTTTGTACAGAGGGTACATTGTGAACGATACAAGAAAAAAACTTGGGATACGAACATTCCAGATCATTATAAATTGACAGACGAGGATATTGATAGATTTGTCAATATTATGAAACCGTGTCTTGAGCAAGCAATGTTTTCGAGACAAGGGGGACAAGATATTACTCTCGCGTTGCAATATCTAGGGTCGCTAAGACCAAATCTTGTCATTCCCATGACTTTGGATAAATTATATTCTTCTATGGACAGCCTCACTGAGCCCCACAAACTGACATCGTCTATGATGGGCGTAACGGCAGTGGCAAGGTACAATCATTGTCAAATCATTTGACGAAAATTATTTACCACATTTCAGATATATGGTGCAAGGTGCACAAAGTAATTACCCAGAAGGATTCACACACGTGCTTCCACTCCTAATGGCCTTACTACCAGGGATTGATCCAAACGATATCCGCAAATGTTTAGTAACTTTCAATTTCATGGTACACTTTATTAATATGATTCCATTGATCAATTGTTCTGAAGCGAGTAAATATCACGAAAATTTAACAGAAGAAGAGCATATAGTTTGCGAAGCCAGTGATGGATTTGAAGATTTCGTTTTGCAATTTTTTGATAGATTGTGTCTTTGGGTCGAGTCAAATTCCCTAGATTTTGTTAGATTAGAACAGGTTGCTAGCAGTAACAATAATAAGAATCGTGCTGAAGTGATCGCTGAAACCGCCCTCTTCTCAATCATTTCAACAGTTTTACACCAATGTTCACCAGAAATTTTCACAGTAAGTAAAATTGTCTTAATTATATGCAAAAAACAAAAAGAGTAAATATTTAAATAAAAACAGTTTTTGAACCTTTAATTCTTAATTCTACAGCGTTTTCGGAAGTATATAATGTCGCTTTGTAGGCTGCTCTCAAAAAAGTGTTCAATTTCGTAAGTGACAAAGTAATGGAGATACAAATCTCCGGCAAAATGACGGCTATTATATGTCAAGGCTTTGCCAAGGTTAATCCTAATGAAACCTTGAAACTTTTCATTCCACACTTGTGTGATATCATCGAAAATTTAATGAACGAAAATCCAAACATAGAAAAAGAGGAACATCTCGATGCAGAATTACTTTACAATTTGCAAATTCTATCAGAAGTGGTGGATGCCAGGACCGAACTAGTTACATATTCCGATAGATTAATGAAAATCCTTGATAGGACTTTACACATGAGTTCGTTGAGTGGTAGTCAAATGGCAGCACGCATGCTCGAAGTTATGATGACGTCACTGACTTATATACTGCCAACGGAGTATCGAAGTTGTTCTACACCCTATGATACACATGTCAAGGATTTTCTCTCGATAAGGTGATACTTTGTTTTAGTGTTTTGTACATAATATGATATAAAATTTAAAGAGAGTGGGGTAAAGCTCAAAATATAAAAGATCTGAAAATTTCGTGGTACGTCCCTGGAGATAAGGAAATCGCCTTAGTTCAAACGCTCATTAATAAGTATTTAGTACCTGAAATTGAAAAACTCAACAAATACGCTTCTGGAGAGTTTGTTCTGACACGAGAAGAACTGCGAAGATCACTTAAGATTGTCATTTCGATTCTGTCCTCACATCCAGTGTTACCAATTTGGGACGAGCCTGCAATACAACTGTACTAATTTTAAACAATGTTTAAGCCACTATACTATTAAAATTGAATGTTTTAGAGTCGATTCGGTTTTAGACCCGTGGGCTTTTAATTTAATCGTAAGCGATTCTCATGCTGTAAATATGCCTAATGGCTCAAACATCCGAAAGGTGATAGCAGATCTGATGCACAAAGTCCAGAAAAAAATCCTAGAAATAGACGAAGGTGACACTAAAAGCATTCACAATATTGTTCATGTAACTAATAATAACTTTTCAAAAAAACACTTTAATCAAATTAAATGTTCCAGATCTACAATATACTTCTTTTCAACAAGTCACGTGTTCATGATTTCGAATACCAATGGAAAAATTTTCACTTGGTAAAGAAATTACTAGAAGACCGTTTACACCAAAACAAATTGCACTTACGACATATCCTTATCAACAGAGTGATGTTGCAACAAGAATTTAGAATAGAAAGTCGTAGCTGTTCATTTACGGAAACTCACAGACAAATTCTTTTGGACTTATTTGAACTAAGTGTGTCGAGATATAGCGAGGTATTGTTGGATTTTTCTGTTTTTTACAAGAAGGGATTGCGACTTGGCTGTTTAGGAAATGGCATTGTAAAGTATTGTCAAGTTGGTTGTTTCTAAATTCTGATAAACTGGTATAAAAAATTAGGCATGTTCATTTTTTGACACCAAGTCGGTATCAACCATTTACATATAAACTTTTCACTTATTCAAAGTTAATTTCACATTTCAGGTGAGAATTTCAGCTCAGTCGAAACTATTTTCTGTAGTGTCTTATTTCCCATACTCTTACACTGTTCTCACTTCGCGTATATTTGAAATCTTGAAACTAAACTCAGAAGAACATCATGAGAAATTCAAAGGTTGCTTATACATTCTGATCAGTCCAAAAAATACACCGATTGTGGCACGCCACGACTGGAATTTTATTCGCCAATTATGGCCACTTATCATCAAGTCGATGCCATCAGAGAAACCTTCAATTGTTAATTTGATAAATGCGGTAGTGGACGCTGTTAACCGATTTTTCCCGACAATTGCGATTAATTTGGTCTTTCCGCAAAGATGTATAGATGATGCCACTGTGCTGAGTCAAAATGTACCAAAGTGTGACTTGAGTAACTTTCAAAAATATATGGACGAAGGCGAGCAAAATTTACAAATCAAATGCCGTAATCGCGCACTTGCGTACAACGAGACAGTTGACGGTCTCTTGGATGCTTGTATTAATGGAAATTTGTAAGTTTTATGTTTCTGAGTTTGTTACATTGCAAATAACTTTTTTGAAGGCACTGGAGATATCATTCGATGGCTGTAACGTTCCTAAAGGTCTTAGTACACTACGATGTTAAATATAACGTGAGAATAGTGAAATATTTTCTACAAGCGTTAATAAATGAATCTATAACCATAAGGAAAACGGCATTACGAGTCACGTTGTTTATTTTAATACAGAATAAACCCCAATTTAAGAAAATTGAAATTGATCCTTATAGTTTATCCAACTGTAAAAGAAATAACCACAAATTGAAGCCGGGAATTAGAGAAGATAATAAATGGTTGCTTTACGACAGCAAAACAGTTCCCAAAGATACAGAAGCTTGGGAGAAACCTAGGTTTTTGCATAATCACAGTATGGGGTTTTACGCTTGGCCAACCAAAGTCGAAATATACGCACCTCCAAGTGAACAACCTAACATAGATAAAAGGTTCTTAAAACTGAGCGAAGAGGAAAAGGAGATTTATAACTTTTTCACCAGTACGGAAAATTTAGAACAATTTATTAAATATTTTTCGATGGAAGAGAAGAAAGGGAAGGACCAGTTTAATGCTTACAAGTTCCTACTTTTCAAAGTGAGTTAGTTATGTTTGTATTTTCTGTTTTATTTCCCAAGGAACATTTTTTAGAATTTATTCAAGCTTTTCGAAGACAAGCTCCTTGACCCCATCATTCCCCACATACAGAAACTTGTCGCCGATAAAAACGAATCATCTCAACGTTGCGCCGCCGAGATAATCAGCGGTTTAATCCGCGGGTCGAAACACTGGAGCTTTGATAAAACCACCAAACTTTGGTCTGTTCTAATCCCCATCCTCGAAACGGCCATTGTAAACATGTGTAGCGAGACCATGACTGATTGGGGCCTCAGCATGGCGATGGCTTTAGACTCCAGAGACCCCAACCGCTACCACTGGATCTTAGAATATCTTGTCAATGATCCACTTTCCGACCAAACGTCGTTTGTGGCCTGTGGTCGTCTCCACATGCTCCACGCGGCCATGAATCAACAAACTTGGAGAAATAATGAATTGTCAGTTCGTTTGTTCAACTATTTCAAACAGCACTTGTCGCACCCTTTCCAAAATATTAGAGACAAGATTAGTAGTTGTTTGACGATGATTTTTTCTAAAGATATGATTTTTCCTGATGATGTAAACGATACGAATTCAGCAGGTATTAAGGCATTTTTCAACGAGATAATGCCCACACTTGACAATCTCTACAGTTATACTTTGAGCAAAATTGAAAGTAAGGATAATCTACTGGATAACTCCGAAGTATCAAAAGATATGCAAGGATTGTCGCTTGAAAACGACGAAGTTCGCGAAAATGCTATGAGATTGTTCAAATTAGGTAAGGATTTCATAAAGTTATATAATAATTTCTAAGGGAACCGTAGATCAAACAACGTAAAGTATTATTTAAAAAAATATTCTTTTCTGTGTCATAGGTATGACACCTGTATATACCTATTCTATTGAAAGTTAAGCACAAGGCTTTCTTTATAAGATAGAAAAACATTTTTGTTATCTTTAAGATAAGAGCATAATTTTACTTATATTTCTGAAGAATAGAACAGTCTCTATGAATACCGACAAAAAAGCTCGTATTATGTCTTGCAAATCCAACACTTTTGTAAATCTAAAAAGTTAAATATGTATAAAACAATAAGGTATGAGTATAAGAGTGAAACAAAGAACTTCAAAAATAGAAATATACAGCTGTACCTGGTGGTACTAGCCGCTAGTGGTTGTTTTTTTTTTCAGTTTGATAAAGATTAGGCAATGTTCAGAAACAATAGGTGCTATCGTTCCTTTAATTCTTTTGCAAAACTTTGATCAATCGGTTCGATGAATCGATTTAAAAATTAACAGGGCTATGGAGGGTACATTAAGCTGTAAAAACACCTAAAAACATTAGTCTCCCCATAAACATTAGTGAATACGCGGTAGATTTACTAAAACAACGCAAAAACTTACATTTTTCTCTTTTCTTTAAATCAATGTTAAAGGTAAAAAAAATATTTTCCTTAAAATCATAAGACGATCTTATAAGTCATTTATTACAGTTTTTGACCCTTCCCTTATATTCTCTGTGTGGTCACATTGCGTGATAACCGTAGCACAGAAAAAATATTAGCCAAAAAATCTCAAAACTAGAAACTTAAAGCTTCAAAATGTTTTTTTTTTTCAATCTAGATACGACTATTTTTCGACAGACTTTCAAAAGTCAACAAAAAATTTAAGAAGATTTTTTGTTCCTTTAATTTTTTGGAGTAGTGTACTTCACTGAAGACACAACAATAAAGGCTTATTTATTGTATGCTTCTAGTTTCAAAATATGTGACATCGAGTGTGGTGAGAATGAACTACTCTACGCTGCCTGAATATTTCGAAATTTTGCCACTTTCATGTGTCCTTCAAAGTAACGACACTGATGACGAAATCGCTCCAATTTGCTCCAGTTTACTCGCTGTCTTGGCTTACACCATCACTATAGCCAAATACATGCCTTCGGCCCTCGAAGCAATAAGGAAAGTAACCACTTGTCCGTTCTGGTCGGCACGTGCGGTTATAACCGAATTCATGTCCGGTTTTGTATTCCATAATATGCCCACGATTATTTCGAAAAAGGAATGGGTACTAGATATCCAACAAATGGTGCTAGAACTACTCGAAGATGTTCAACCCGAAGTTAGAGTTAGTGCTAGTCAAGTTTTAAGCGGTCTTTTGCACTGCCAATTTATTCCAAACCCTCAAGAATTATTAGTAATTAATTTTGACATTTATGTTATTACTAAGTAACTGGTGAATTGTAGGCGCAATTTAAACAGAAGGCGAAAACTAAATTAAAGAAGAAAAATTTGAACAACTCCAACAGTTTAAATCTTAGTACTTTACGGTTTAGACATGCTGGAGTTTTGGGCTTGTGTGCTTTTATCAGTAGCCATCCATATGACGTACCTGACTTTTTACCAGACATTTTCGGACAATTGGGACCCCATTTGAATGACCCTCAACCCATTCCAGTGAGTAACACACACCCCATCAATTTTAAAATATTGAACCAACTTATTTTTTAGGCAACAATTCGCAAAACTTTGGGAGATTTTAAGAGAACACATCACGAAAATTGGGAAATTCACAAACTCAATTTTACTGAGGAAGAACTGTTAGTTTTAAGTGATCTCACAGTGCCTCCCAGTTATTACGCCTAGGCAATAATTTTCCGATTCCAGTCAATTTACAAAATTTTAATTTTTTTACTATTAGGTGAAGGAAGGTTTAAGGTAGCAAAAATTTACTCCAGTCAAACGTTTATAAGATGACTTTTTATTTTTAACCTTGTTGTTTATATTTTTTTGTGGTTTGATAAAAAATATATTAAGTAAAATGTTTATACATGACTCAATTCATCTAATAAAGAAAGACATTTGTCTTTTAATATTTTAACAGCTTCTGTGAATATCACATCAGGTGGCAAAGCTCCCACAGATTCAACCGTAACTAAATCATAATTAATAAAAACACTGAAAAAGGTTTAATAAAAGACTTACAAATGAAATGATCCTGAATTTTGGTCATAGCAACCGCGTCTTTGAGGTCTTCATAACGGAAAACATTTCGACTTCCTGTATCATACCTCGTATTAGCAACAACTGCGTATTTCCGACCTTTTTCATGCCGGATTGAAATCACACCAGGAGAGAAACATTTCTGGAGTCTCTCAGCTGCTTCACCTTCCACTTCTCGCAATAATTTTATGTCGGGAAGAAGACGATAGAATGCTGTCGCAACTGGAGAGAATTTCGCATGATCTCGCCCAATGCTTTTGACGGCAATTAGTTTTAAGTCTAGTTCATGCCCTGGTCTCATTTTGGCAATTAGGATGTCAGGATGGATGGGGCCTACGTCACTAAGCCGTTCTTTTTGTTTACCAACTGGAACCCACTTAATGTGTTTTGAGTACACTAAAATTGTTGTATTTATTGATAATTTCTGAAAGTTGACAAATATTTACCATTATTGTTTTTATACATATCTTCTGCTCGTAGTGAGTCTTTATTGCTGTCTTTATTATTAGTACATTTAATTTTTAACGCGAATTCTAGAGTATCCTGTTCCGTACCTTCGGCAGATGCTGTAAAAAGAATTTATACCGTTTGGGATCGCGAATTTTGCAAAACTTACGATCAGTTTTCATTTCAAACAAACGTGGGTCAGCTTTTAGTGGAATAAGCCCTAAACGATGAGCTAAAACTTCGTCTTGGATTATAGAAGTGTTATTGAGAACATGAACCTTGTCAATGGCCATTGTGGGAACATCACTCAACATTAATCTTCTAAATGTGTTTGCTAAGAACGGATGAAGTCCTATTAAATCAAATTCAAGTTCATTTTCTTCGCATCGCACTATCACCACTCTAAATCTCTTTTTAAAGGTTTTGAAGTCCCAATTTTCGTCCAAAACAGTTGGTTTCGACGGCAAATTCTTCAATGACTTTTTTTAAGGAAAAACAGTACAAAATAAACAAGAGAATACCTGCGTCACTTTATATTCTCCTAAAATTACACGAGGTTTTTCATCATTCAATATATTATCCATTTTTAAGATGTTTCAAAAAAGTTGAGCACATAACCTCATGCCGCCTCAATCACATGTGTTTTGACCAACCTTGCAACTGTTAAGTTACTAGATCGAAGATATGTCGGTCATCTGTCATTTTTTTAGGTTATGTTTTGTGAAAAATATAAACAATTTTTGAAGAATATGACGAAGCCTGAATGTTCCAAACAGGAATCTTCTATCACAAAAAATAAACCCGAAAAAGACTCACCTTCAACGGCTAAAGATTTATTTGCCGATTTTGTACCAGAAGGATCAGACAGTGAAGAAGAAAATGAAATACAAGACGACAAAAAGGACGAAAATATTGAACCAGCGTCTAAAAAATCTCGAGACAGTAATTCAAAAGTAAGTTACTGTTACAGTAATCAGAAAAAAACATTTTTTTTCTCGCAGAAATACATACCAAAATACAAAAAAGAATGGGAAAATAAACCAGAATTAAAATCGTGGTTATCAGAGAGCATACATGGCAATACATATTTCTACTGCAAATTTTGTAAAAAAGACTACAGGTGTGGGATTTCCGATATTCACAAACACATGTCTTCAAAGAAACATGCCCTAAAAGCCGCGATGCCTGCATTCAAGGCACAAAAATTTAAATTTAGGGGGCTTTTATGTCCAGTTTTCACCCCATTTACCAATTTAAAAAGAGTCACACCTGACGTAAATCTTAAGGTTATACCAAAATATGCAAATTTTTTAAAAGCTTGCAATATTAAAGGAATTCTAAGTAGTGCTCTACTCTATAACAAATGAAGTAAAGTAATAAAGGCATTTTCAGTTAACGACATAGTCGGGGAAGGAATGTCCTTGACTACCCATGAAAGAATAGATTTAGCAGACGCATGGGCTGACGCTTGCGAGAAAACGAATCAATTTTTGATGGCACAAATTGGCGGAGCTCCCCTCAAAGACGTTATAGAAATGGTAGATTTAATTTTTGATGCTACAACTATTGATTCTTTTTTGAATTGCAGGCAAAACATGCCGCTAAGCGGGATATCGGAGCCGTTGTAGTCCTTCCCGACCTTTACAACAAACCAAAAAACCACTTGGACTTAATCAAATACATAAAATTAATATCAGAATTTACCGAAAACGTCCCCATTCTTTATCACCACAACTTTAAATTTACCCAAGTCGAAAGTAAACATTTAAAATGAATAAAGGAAAACGCGAATCTTTCTTCTGTATTTTCAGTTGACATTACGTCTTTTCTGTTGGATATAACAGGAGAAGTGGATTCATTTGTAGGCGTGATTTATAGCACAAATGATATCCAACAAAGTACCGCAGCTATGGCGATAAATAGGGAAAAATTCACGGTTTTTATGGGCACGGACGAAGTGAGGGATGTTGGACCATCTGCTGTTGTTAAAATTTCAATTTTAGGCAATTTTGGGGGCTGCTGCGAGTGGTTTTACTTGTATTATGGGAACAAGTTTGAATTTTTTACCAAAACTGGTAGAATCGATTTGTGAGGCTGTGAGAGAGGGGAACATTAAAAATGCCCAAACGTCACAAAATTTACTCAACAGGACAATAGATGTAATAGTAAAACAAGGTAATCAAAATTTTTATTAAATGGGTATACAACTTGGCCTGTAAACTGTGTTCTCTGCAAAGTTACAAGTAAAGTCTGTTTTTTTTTTAAATGGAAATTACCAAGTCAAAATTATGGTGAAAAAATTGGTAGCAGCTTGTCTCCATAGCCACAAATTTTGTTTGCTCTTTGTTTTTGTCCCTAGAAATTTTGTTAAAAAATTATGGTTATGTGTTCAAATTGAGATGTTGTCAAAATCTTGACTTTTATGAATCTTGTGTGCCTGTTTGCTTTCTGAAAGCGCTATAATTGAATACCTGAGGACAGGCATCATTACCTAAGGTCTAAAGACAGAATTCAGTGCTAATTGTTTTCACAGAAACACACCGCAAGTAAGTACAATGTTGTGGACAAAAATGAGATTCTTGCTACAAAAACTTTGAAGAAAAAGGATGTATATACAGAAAAAAAGTTATTTAGCAAAAGATACAAGTAGGTATTATGATGATTGGCAATAAATTTTGTGTAATTGATTGAAATGAGCTCAAAGTTGATACATTTTATAAATTCTTCTTCAGCTTTAGTTTCAAAATTATTACTTTTTCAACTCATTCCTCAAAAAACGATGCACAAGACACTAATTTAATTGCGTTCTTTCCGAGGTTCCTTCTCATTCATGTTTATTTTGTATTCTTGTCAATTTCTTGCTAAAAATTAAGAATATTTAGCAAACCTGCATTACAAATTGCGTCTACATTTTAACGGGCCTTTTTTCTAACTTCCTGCTTGCGAACTATTCGTTTCCAAATTTCGAAAAACTGTTAGTGTAACGAATTTGTTTCTTTTTTGGTGTTTCGTCTCTAAATTTTCTTAGACGATTTTTTGTGTTGACGTTTAATGACACTGTTTTCAAATTAATTCAAAAAACCGGAATAGCCAACTTCCCTTATTAAAATTACCATGAATGAATTTACTAGTGATGCCAACGTTAAGACTGTTTGGCATTTCCATTTAAAAAAAACAGACTTTATCTTTAACAAATGAATAATGTGGTGGATTAATGTTGCTTAACATGTTGATTAGGTGACTACATAGCAGCCTCAAAGGCTGCAACTGACATCATTACTAGCACTTGTGGTACAACTACTAGAGAGCCTTTACAAACATTATGGGAAGGCACGATAAAGAAACTCCAATGCAAATTACGTGAACTTGGTGTTATGTAAGTCACTTTTATATTTTTACACATTCATTTAAAAATACAATAAACTTTAAGATTCTACTTGCTTTTATTATTCATAAAAACCGTAATAAAACATCCTGAAAATTTCCATCATTTTTATTTACTTAGTGTAATCTCTAAATCTAGAGGGCGATAATTTTTAAACAATTTGTGAAATGTAAATATACAAACGTACAAAATCTAGTCTTCCCTTAATATCTTTTTTGCAACAAAACTGGATATACATTTTTTTTCTTTTTGAATAACGCCTAACAAAGAATTTTTTCAATAATACTTTGGATAAGAAAAACGAAAATAATTTATGTACACAATTACACAAATAAAAAGGATTGATTTTCATTGGGTTGTTCGATTTATCTACTATAAAAATGAATAAAGACATAACTAACTTTTAAAAAATATAAATGAATCGCAATCACAACAAAGAATCATTAAAACAATATCCTTAATGGCCGTTGAAAACAGTAATTGACATAATTTTATGAGAAAGTCTGCAACCGCCATCAAGAATACAATCGTCTTTAATTTAATGTGCACACGTATAAATATACCTATAAATTATCTAAAAAAATACAACGGTAAAAAAAATAATTACCCTTAATCACATAAGTATTATCAAGGTCGCTGACATACCGTCCGGTGTTTTGTGAGGGAAAACGGGGCCTTCAAACCGAATCATAAGTAACAAAGTATCTTATTTACTTGTGCATTTTTTCAACGAAAAGTTGGTCCCTTTCGCCTAATTTTTATTTAAACGACTTCGATTAGTTCACAAAACACCGGACGACATGTCGTACCGACTATTTACACACCACACCACAACCTGATGACCTCTGGTACCAAACGAAGCCTACCACCCTTACGTTTATCCCTCGAGAAACGAAAAAATCGACTCTCCCTTTAAGGCTGTGATGTGAACGATTAGTATAAGGGCGTTTAAACTCCGCCGATTGGTCAGAGCAGGGTGCATCGGGACAGCCAATTCGTTGGCTTTCGTTGTGGTTCTGTGGCTTTCAACTGGTGGCCGCCTTTCGGGGGATTGCTCGCCTCCTAATCACAACGTAAAAAATAATACTAAGAAATATGTAAATAAAAAGGCAAAAAAGTAACATGAATACTAAAAGATGTTTCAAATTCAGTTTTTAGGTTCAAATAAAATTCAAATGTAAATATTCCAACACCGGTTTTAGTTTAGTTTGAAAAAGTATTTACCAATTAAACGGACATTCATTCAATCACTGGAATGTAAACAAATAAAATTTATGTTAGCTTAAAAGACACTTTGAAGATAATAATTAAGTATACAATTTTTTTAATACATTTATTTCAAAATACATTCCAATATTAAATGCAGGTGATTTTAAAATACACAACAATACTTAACTGGTACATGTCGAAAACGTGTAGACAGACACTTATTAAAATTAATATCAGTGGCTCAAATCTGCCAAATAATTAAATTTTCATACATACCTGTCCGAATTTTTTACTTTACGCCAATGATGACGCTAAATGATGATATCATCATCACATCAACAAAGAGCTAGTGGCTATATTCACTTTTTGAAAGTAAATTTTCGTAACGATTACTCTTTTATTTTGGATTATTTTTACGAACGAATATTTTTTCATGACATAATTATAATTAATATCAATTATTTACAATTATATAATATTATATTAATTAATTAATTAACATAATAAACCTTAAAGGTAATATGTACACTTGAGTGCAAAAAAACGCAAATTGTCAAATTGTCTAATTTTTCAGAGATTTACATAGTGAGAAAAAGGTTATATCAAAAAAGGTTAAAAAACTATCAAAAGAAATGTCGTATTTAGTGGTCTTGCCAGTGCAGTGTCATAGTCAGTGTTAAAAACAAAATAGAAAAACTTGATAGCAGTTTGGAAGATGCCTGACAATTATGAGATTGTGAATTGTGAGAAAGACAACGTCAAAATTTGTTAACAGGCCAACATTATAAAAAAATTGAGATATCGAAATAATTATATAACAAAATAATTTGGGACTAGAATGATCACGGCTTTGATGAATTCAAACAAGTGGTTTCAAGTGAGCGCAATTATACCTATGCACGTAATTTTGTAACGTAGGTTTACAAATCAAAACATATACTACAAAGCTTATTTGCAATACCCACAATCTCATTTGAACACTTTCATTTCCGATTTATGTAAAAAAATCAGTTTCACATTTTCAAAATCTTTTTAAAGTTATTGTTATTACATTTTTGTCACATTTGTTTTGAAAACGATTTCTATTTTATTATTGCATTATTTCAAGTTCAATTGCTGTACTAAATTTTTAGTGTCCGGTGTTTCACCGGTTTTATCACCGTTTAAAATTTGAGAAAAAACAATGATCTTACCATAAATATATTTATTATTTATTTATTATATATTTATTATTTATTTATATATTTATTAAGTATCGGATACGTGTCTTTAACTTAATACTTCCATATTATATACATACCGACTACATATTACATTACGAAGGTTAAATTAATGAAGTACTGATAGCTTTTTTATGAAACAAGTGCAAAAAACAAATACGTCAATAATTTCAAAACGATAATTTATTTACGTAGCATTCAATTAGTAACGAAATGTTTAAAATGTTTTTTCCAAAAATGCAGAAATATTAGTTCACAAAATATATTTTTTTGTGTAGGCCGTAAATAATAGGTCAGGTTTATAACTCTTGTAATATTTTGTTTTCAACATAGGAACCGCCACCTACGTTCAAATGTATTACGAGAGTACTTATGTATGTAAATATGCATTTGTAAATTTATGGCTACTTTATTTTGGAAGTTATTCACAAAAAGTTTAAACATTCAAAATATTAAAACATACTTCCTTGAAATTAAACTTTCGGCGATTTTAATTTCTTTCTCGATAAAAGGACATTCAACTGAGTTAAAAGTTCCCATGAGAAAAAAATAGTTTGTGTCTTTTGTCATGAGATATAGCTCTTCAAAGGTTAGATCTTTGTGTTAGTTTTTGGTCGTTCAGATCATGTATTCTTGAATTTAATTAGCAGAAACGGCAGATCTTGCAACATTAAATAGATACTTGTTGAAAAAATCACCAATTTATGTTTTATGGTGTACAAAACATTTAACAAACTACCAAATTCAACAATAAATTAAATCCAACAACATCGGAAACAAAAGAGCTCAAGGTGCTATAAATGATGATATAGAAATTGTCAGTTCTGTTTTTCTCAGAAAAAAAATCGGCATTAATTTTTGTACCTAGCTGAAAGTCTTCTATCACCATTCCACCATTGTATGTATTTCCCTCACAAATGTACATCTAATAATAAATATTAGTACCATCTACAGGAAATTCCATCTCAAAACTTTCAATTTGAAACACCTTTCCAACAAGCTTTATTTGTCCATGCAATTGCAATTACGCCATTGGTTAAAAAAATTCCTCTGACGTTAACATGAAAAAATTTCATTTCATCTTTAAAAACTTTCGCTTAGTATCTTGTTGATAGACAAATTGTCAATAAAAGATTTTTATGCTCCAACCGTGAAATTAATATTTACTCGTTATTTTCAATCACGATATTGTGGGCCCACGCCCGTTAAACATTAAGAGACGATTTATTAGGTATCACTTTTTCCGGTTCATAGTGATACAAATAAAGAACACCCAAAAAAAAAAACTATTAAACCATGCATTTTAATAAAGCGACCAATCATTTTAGCCAAGCACATGCTTAATCCAAAAAACAATTTACCTTCTGCCAATTCAAGGAGAGCAAGAAAAATAAATACAATTAGTTTTGAGATTCATATAAAGGTATAAGTAGGATGTTGGAACAAAACTTACCAATTTCTTTTCCATTTTCGCCTTGATATCTCTAGCTAAAGTAAAAAAGGCCTCTTCAACGCGTATGCTCGCTTTCGCACTGGTTTCAATGAATTTAATACCGTATTCAATCGCCAATTGTTCGCCCCTTTCTTTTGAAACTTGTCTTTTTTCTTCCAATTCACATTTATTACCCAACAACATTTTTTCCACATCCGCCGAGGCGTTCTCTTCGATGTTTCGTATCCAGTTTTTGATGTTTTCGAAACTTTTTTCGTTCGTTATATCGTAGACCAACATTATACCCATTGCCCCTCTGTAGTAAGCTGTTGTAATCGTCCTGAAGCGTTCCTGTCCAGCTGTGTCCCTAAACACACCTCAAAATTGAAAAAAAATATTTTTACGAAACAAGAACTTACCATATTTGCAGTTTAATTTTTTTACCATCGAGATCTATCGTCCTGATTTTAAAATCGATACCTGTAAACAAGAAGATTGTGATGTTTTGGTGCAAATGAGTTTAATTGTTTTAATTATAAGCTTCAATTAAGACAATAAACTGTCCTGTTTTCCACCGGAACTGACACTAATGAAAACACAAAAACTTTTGACAGGTGTCAATGCTCGCATCAAGTGTCTCCTGGAAGGTTTGACACCTGTCAATCTTGATTTTGTTAGTCAATGTTGATGTCATCTCATACTCAATTAACTCATTAGTCACGACACGGAGCATTAAAATTGTATTTCTCGTCACAATTGGATTATTGTTCGGCGCGACGCTGTCACAACTGTCTCGGGCGTTAGGTGTGGTGAGAAGATAACAAAGCCCCGTCACTACATCACCAAAAATCAAATCTCGGAACGACCACATTTAGAAACACAAGTTATGATTTAAAAAAGTTTGGTAAAATTATGCCCGAAGGTTTTACAGGTTGGGCCTCTTATAATACTCACCGATCGTCGAAATAAACGTCGTATTGAAAGCGTCCTCGGAAAATCGAAATAGAACACATGTTTTCCCAACGCCTGAGTCACCAATTAACAACAATTTAAAAAGATAATCGTATGTTTTTGCCATCTTTTGCCACACAAGACACTTTTTTGTTCTCTGCCGGGTCACTTCACGTCTTTAGCAACGACATTAGCAACCTGTCGCAATGTCACCAAAAGCAGACACAAATTTCCCCAGATGCGTATTGTTGGTTTCATAACTCAGAGATAAACAGGAAACAATTTTATTGCAACAATTAATTACAAGAAATTAACAGCTTTTTCAATTTGTATTCATTTTTTAAATTAATTGGGTTGCTAGCACCACGTGGCATCCAACTGACATTTGCCCAGAAACCATCTATATTGAAGCTGGTTCTCGGCAGAATAGTCCTCCCAGTTTACTTCCGCCCCAGGATTTAACTGAAAAAATATATAAAAATTAAAATAGGAAAACCATCTTCAGAGTACACGTATTAAACATATTAAACAATTATTTGCTACTTGTGGGAAATATTTAATGCTCTATTTATAAACTTTTTTTTGTTTTTTGTTTTTTTAAGTAACACTTAAAGAACCTACTTGACTTGGAGGGAATATCCTTTTGCAATCACCTCTATTCAAATGCTCTTTGTATGCATCCTTCAAATATTGAAGAGTATCTGCAGAGAGACAAGGTCTACACAACTGGCAAATTGACGAAGCGCAACCACTTTTACAAAGAGCACTGTTACATTCATTAGGGTACGTAACAAGGTTCTTCTCCGAAACCATCATTTCTTCTTCTGAGTGCGACCTAGAATGGGTATGGAAACGAAGTTTTAACGTTCTTAATTTTTACCTAACGGCAAGAGTGTCTTTCCGAATGCGCTCCCCAAGTCCTAATAGTCCCATAGCATTGTACAAAACCTGTTCATAGAGCAACTGATTAGGAGGAAAGTGTGCTGACGACAGATTGGGACTCATATTCGCCTCCAGTAAAAAAACGTTTAAATCTTCGTCGACTACAAAGTCAATTCGGATCAATTCAAAAAAGTTGCGTTTGGACTTGAATCTACAAATTTTAATTGCTATAAATATCACACGGTTTTACTGTTTTTTTTACTGTACTTGGATACGACGTCTAAAATTTTGGGTTCTTTATTTAGAATTAAAATCCTGATGGCGTCTTCAATTTGGTCCCAAATTTTTTTCGGAGTTTTCCCCTTCGCCCGAAGAAATGCGTTTAAGCTTTCCCTCATCCCAAATCCCAACTCATTATAATAATAATCTAGAGCTGGGACTTCCCAAATGGGGAGATAATCATCCCCGACTACATACTTATCAAGATTTTGAGGGTCAAACGGGTAGTACTTAACCGGACAAAACCTCAAAAGCGCGTCTCCGTTGTATACGTACACTCTCAAGGGATCAATTGAGGTAATAATCGTATAAATCCCGATATCGAATTTATGGCCACTGACTAGTAAAGGCTTATCGACAAATTCTTGAACAAATGTTCCCTCCGAGTTTAAATCAATTTCTTTAACCGGTCTTATTTTTATATTCCTATGATCATTGTTTTTTTGCACAAAACTAATATTAGGATGACTGTTGGCGTATTTGAGAAAGTCGTCTTTGTCTTGTGGTAACTTGAATGCCGGTGGAATGTACTTAAGTCTACTGACGGCTAAATCAACCTTATTTGTTATGTAACCACACCCTGGAAAATGATTGACTTTTTGGTGCGGCCTCAAATGATTCAGTTGTGGATAAAGTTTGCGAAATGGGTAGTCATGGGCCCATAATAGGTCCCAGTCAGTCGCATTCGGATCATTTTTATAACCGAGTCTGTTTAATATTATAAACACGTGCTTCAAATATCCGCTTTCCACATTTTTGCCATAAACCCAAAAAGTTTTATATCCGTCGGAAGTTGTAACTTGAGTGACATCTTCTAAGCGATTAAAGCACGTCCGGCATTCGTCTGCCGCTATTATTAATATCGTAACTACTGAAACTATTGCTATTAATACTGAAAGACTGTAATATCGTTCGTATTGTGACACAAAACTGTCTATGACACTGCTACGTCCATGTTTTCCCTAAAAATTCTACGTAAAGATTGCGATTGAAATATCACTTACTCACCTGTTTTGGTTTTGTCTCTGTGTTTTCGGACATTTTAACTGGCACTGCTGACGTAAAATTATGCTTTAACGGTACTTGTACACGTTATTAAGATCTCAATACCGGTCCTTGACTTTCTAGCTGTGACCTTGATAAGTTACACACTTTCATTTCCAATAGACCAGTGCAAATGTTCTTCAGAAAAACAGAATTTGAAAAATTATGGATTTATTAAGAACGTCATTCTAATGTAAGATTCACAAAACATTAAAAAATAAAACTTAACTTTCTTTTACAAAACATAATCCATTCACAAATTAAAAAAGTAACATAATTAACACTGATAATGAATAAACATCTCTCGTCTACTTGTTTTGGTTTTCGTATTTTGCAAGCTTAGATTTGTGTCCCTCTCTAAAAAGATGAATTCGAACATCGTTTATGGTACGTAATGGAGCACTATTGCAGAGTTCGCATACAATTTCTCTTTCTGTTGCCGACCTAAAAGAAAATGTAATTAAAAAAAAAATTTTTTCACCCTCAACATTGATTTAAAGAAATGAGAAAAGTAACTTTTTGCGTTATTTTAGTAAATCTACTGCGTATTCACTAACATTGTTGGGGAGACTAATGTTTTTAGGTGTTTTTACAGCTTAATGTACACCTCATATTTCTGTAAATTGTTTCTGAATATTGTCTAATCTTCGTCAAAATGAGAAAAACAATTTGTTTTCAGCTTTTTTTACAATTTTACATGACTTATTAATTAAATTTGAAAAAAAAAAGAAAATTCGAAAAAATTTTGATTTTTTTTTCAAAAATTAATCAGTATTGTTTCTTGAATTTTTTTACAAACTGAAAAAAATCAAAAAAATATTTTTGTTTAATTTTTTAATTTTAACAAAACTAATGCCAAATTGTAAAAAAAAAGCTGAAAAAAAAATGTTTTTCTCATTTTGACGAAGATTAGACAATATTCAGAAACAATATGTACGATTGTTCCTGTAAAACTTTGACCAATGGGTCCGAGACATCGGTTTGATGGATCGATTTAAAAATTTACAGGGATATGAGGGGTAAATTTAGTTGTTAAAACACCTAAAAACATTAATCTCCCCATCAATATTAGTGAATTCGCAGTACATTTACTAAAACAACGCAAAAACTTTTCACTGTCAGCAATTATTAACTAGTAATTTATTAATATTAAGAGCCATATTCACCAAAACCTTAATTCCTTCAGTTTTATATAAAAAAGTCTAGAGAAAACTGTATATTTAACTCGCTTGTTACTTAAACGTCTCAATAACAGAATATTCAGAATATAGCTCTGACCAGCGTGCCGACAATATTTTTGGTTTCGGTTTAACGAGGGGGTGCCAATAAACATATCGTAAAAAATCGTACAAATGATATATCTTTCGGCAGACTCTACTTTACTACTTTAATCTATAAAAAATCACTTTGTTACAAAATCAACAAAGGTTCAAACTACAGGCGAGATATTTCAGAATCTCAAAAGAACTCAAGTCTCACCTTCTCGCAATTTGATTAAGTTCTTCCAAATTCTTATTAATCGACATATTTTTGCGCTTATCATCGTTAAATTTGACAAACCACAGATAAGACCATATAGCCTCCTCATCATCGTCCATATCAATCCGGAGTATTTCCATATTATCCAAACCCTTATTCCACACATCAGCGAACTTGACATTAATCCGATCAACAGTTTGTTGTCTCATATGCAACAAACTGGAAGGACAAATCAGAAAACAGCGTCACAAAACAAACTCCTTACCGAAATAGTTCTTCTTTGAGACACCGTTGAGTTGTATATAAATCTTCAGGTACTGCCAACTCTTCGTGGATTTGACTCATCGTTTTAATAGCTGTATTCATGTAGTACCTCAATTCGTTTATCTGAAACATCCAATTAACGTTCCGTCTGTAATAACAATATTGCCAACCTTAGTAATCATTTCAGATCGCAAATCGGTATCAAGCACAAGACAAATATCATGCATGGGAAAATTGGCTCTTTCCGTGCCTTCCTTGTACCCCAATCCGCACAAAACTGAAGCCACTCGACTACCGTCAGGTGTCAGTTTTGGCTCCATCTGAGGACAGAATAGTAAAGTCATCAACATGGGAAGTCCAGGAATGTTTGGCATGATCGTCGTTTGCGATATTTTCATACTTGACGTTGTAGATGACTGCGAAACTTGTGCAGCGACAAGCAACCTTTAATTATTTTTTTAAATCCAGTTTCTACAGTCTTATTATTTACCTCGCGTGACAATCTTCAGGATTATCATCTAATATCACAGCATTGATAGAATCACCGTCGACGTGCACGGGCGCCCCTACAGTGGCCTGAACCAGACCACAAACTTTTATTTCAAGGGGGCTGAAAGGGCCCTTCAGTTCAATTATTTCAGTGGCTTCGCTCGACTCAGGCGCTTCGAAATCTACATAACTGTTCGAACTTAGAGTTTTGTTGTAAAGAGTACACATGTTGCTTGGATCTTCAGAACTTTGAACTTTGAGACGCATTTCGTGGTCCATCTATAATAGATTAAATATTTCGCAATTTCCACAATTAGTACTTACTTTCGATAGTTGACTTTCTTCACATTTTTGACCAAGTCCTTCATTGATCAACCATTGATTGAATGAGACCGAATTCGGACCAGGATTTTGCAGGAATAATTCAAGATGGACGACATCGTCAACCACCGAATACACCTACAACTGTGGTTAACCAAATTCATTTAAATAAGCAAAAAACATACTTTTGCATTCAGCAAAACACCAGTCGTTTTCCTCTTAAAAATATTATTGACCCTTTCAGTCCACAAAGCTTTTGGGTTTAGGACAAGATCTGGTTGCACTTCGCTAAGAACGCAACACATCGCGATGGGTTGGGCCCGACAATAATTGTTTTCTGGTAATTTATAAAGTCGGTTTATAGGAACTCTTTGCACATTTCCATAATCGATAAAGCGCACCTTTAACATTTTTTTTTAATTATTTGAGAATGTTTTTAACCCGCTTTGACATACCTGAGCAATGGGAGGTTGACCAGGTTCTTCGGCGATGACTTTGCATCTATAAAATTTACTGTCCTCGATAAAGGCTGCTGCATATATTTCGGTGTTGATTTTTATTTTTTCGCCAGCAGGTTCTAGAAATACTCCTGGACCGTTCAAAGCTGCAAAAATTTGATCAAGGAGAATACGAGTTTCTTCATTCCAATTCTGACAATAGAAGTGACCTGCATCAATAATCTGCAAGTATAAAAATATCAATAAACAATTGCAGTCAATTTCTCGTGTCATTTCTGAATTTGGCGAGTATAATAAAAAAATAGGATGTTGAATAATTCATAAAAAACTAGGTGTGTGGTTGGTAATAACTGAAATCGTTTGCTATTTTTTCTTCTTAGTTCACAAGTCAGGTTATGCAAATAGTACTCACATGGGTTACAATAATAGTGATATATTCTATATCTAGAGTAGGCAAAGGCGAATAGTCGACAGTCGTGAAACAATTAACATCTTCACTTTCCGAATTCTGTCGTTTCGCCTTAGTCATATTGGCAAACTCCCAGGCTTTGGTGTCTCTAAAATCAAAACGATCAAAATTGCAATTGTAACAACACAACACATCTTACGGTAAAATCTCTAAACGAAAAGGAACTCTCAACTGTCTTTTCCTCACAGCTGCATAAACCTCCGCAGCTATGTTACCCGAGACTGTTGCGATGTACTGTCTACCTTCAACTGTCACTTGTTCTGGTTGTCTAAAATTTTTATATTCGACGAAAACTTTGTTGCTTTGTGGATCAAAACCGATCCGGACGTTTGGGTTATCTTCGTCATTCATCAATTTTTTGATTTGTCTAACATAAATCTGTCCCGGTTGGTTCAATTTCATGTTAGTGAAATAAACAGTGTTGCAAGGATCGCGTCCGTTGAGTATTTTAACAGCTTCTCTTGCGTCGGCATTTCCAAAATCTGGTGATTTTATGAAATAATAAGGATAAAATGCGCCGCAAATTATGACTTTGAGAACTGTCGGTTTTTCCACGATAGATAGTGGAATACTAGCTGGTCCTGTCAATTGTTGAATTTTGAGTCGTTTTAAACGCGAATGAACCTCGCGAATTAGAATATCCCATTCTCTAAGTCCCTTGAAATTGACGAAATTTTTTTTGCACCAACTGATTTCTGCGTGGCTCGAACTGAACGCATTCTCTCGTTTCATATTCAGCCAAACCTATTCCAGAAAAGTAAAAAATTATAATAAAAAACACACACCACTCACATTGTACAAATTTAGTAAAATCATAAAGTCGCTGCAAGATCCATCAGCCCATGAAAGTTTCCACCTGTAAGTTCTAAACCTATCGTGGAAGTTTTGAACAAAGATATTTTTTGTCATACAACCAGCAGCTGTAAAACACAACCATTATTACCGCTTAAAAGTAATATTCGGACATACCCATGATCACAGCATCATCAAGGCAACTAAACATGTGACCCAAGATAATCAATTTGGATAAATGTATGTCGATAGGAAGCGAACCCATCACTCGTCCCATGAAGGTAATATCACCATCAGCGGCGGTAAAGTGGCCTCTACAAGTTTGCAGCAAAGCTCCCACTTCTTTCAAATGCCAGACACATCGTTCTACATCTTTTAAATTTGGAGGACTTATGGCCAACGACAGGACATTTTTGGGAGTATCGTTTAAACCCAACAATTTCATATAGAGAATGACGTTCTCTAAAGGTGCTCTTTGGAGTTCAGGAATAGTACTTTGTTTCATTTCATGCTGTTCGGTAAAATATTATAGATATAATGGAATAATAAGAAAAAAATAAAAGCAAACTGTTTTAGGGTTTTGTAATACTAACCAGATAAAAATTGGCTGGGACCACACGATACACTCTGCCATTGGCTACACGGCCAACTCTCCCCGCTCTCTGGATACAGTTTGTATGAGATGCCCACTGAAGACTTAAACTTGAAAATTTTGTTACTTCGTTTACCACCAGATTTTTCGTGAGACAAAAATCGATCACTAAAATTGTTTCATTTAAATTGTGCAGACAATTGAAGCTAACAATAAAGAAACATGTAAGTTGTACCGTCATACTATTTATTCATGAAACAAAGAGTTTTTCTCTAGACAATTCAATTAATATAACGGCAATTTTGATCATTATAATTTATGAAATTTTTTTAATAAAAAAATTCATTGAGATTATACTGACATGGGTTTCATTTATAGTCAAATTATTATTAATTTTTCATTATTTTGTTTAATTTGTTTTAATAATCAGTGACACAAACGCTACATTAGGATGTTATTTTATTCACATGCAAATTTGGATAACTATTGACCTTCTCAGTCTCAGAAAGACAAAATGTTATAGAATGAATTTGGTACTAAAAATCTACCAGCAGACACTAGTAATTACTACAATTTATTACCATTATTATTATTAATTTTTCTTCCAATTGAAATTACTTAAACCTTACCGAAATTGACATCAGGAACTGTAACGGAACTTTCCGCAATATTAGTCGACAGTATAATTTTTCTGCATCCTGGTCGCGGTTTCTGGAAAGCTTTGATCATGTGCTCATGTGCTAGAGATGAGTGTAAGGGAATAATTTCCCATTCAAGAACGGAAGTGTTTCTAAAAATTGCTTCTAAACATCGAAACATTTTGGAAAGACATGAAATTCATACTTCTCCCTCATTAAAACTTTATGCATTTCTTCAATTTCGTGAAAACCTGGTAAAAACACTAAAACACTTCCATTAATACGTTCCGTCGGGTTCAATTTACTTTCATTTTCTTCTAATTTATCAAAAAGACTAATCAATTTCGCACATACGTCGTACTGTTCTTTGTGCATACAAGGCTCTTCAAAGTTGTATGAAGGCATCTAAAAAAAGTTTCAAGTAACAATTTTGGTTTCAAATGCAAGTCTTACCGCAGAAGCAAAATGTTCATTGTAATAAACGCTGATTTTAAATTCGCTTTTCTTAGTGACGGGTAACACCGGAGCCAGTAAATACTGGTGAGGATTATTGCGTGGGATGCTTCGAAAATAGTAAGCAAAATCTTGAGCTTCCATGGTTGCAGACATGAGAATTATCTGTCAAAATTTAGAAATATTCTAAATACACCACTAACTTACCTTAACTGACGGTGAGTTCGTAAAGAGGTATTTTCTTACAATTAAAAGCAAAAAGTCGAGAGTTTTGCTCCGTTCGTGTACTTCGTCAATAATCACATGAGTATATCTGTTCAAATTTTTTTGAGAAATCAATTTTTGTAACAGAACTTCTGTTGTCACGTAAGTTAAAATCACATCTTCGCTGACATTTTTATCGAGACCTACCTACAATACCAAATTTTTGTAATTATTATTTCTTTTTTTGCATGAGACATACTTGATAACCACAAACTGTTCCTAAGGCCCACCCCCGCTCTTCACAGACTCGTTGTGCAATATTGATAGCAGCTATTCTTCTAGGTTGAGTAACTACAATATTGCATGGCGATTTTGTGGCTCTACAATGGTCTAAAATGTACTGTGGCACTTGAGTAGTTTTACCACAGCCTGTAGGTCCGTGAATAATTACAACGGAGTTGGTGTTAATCATGTCAAGAATCTAAAGAATTCAAAATTATATTTAAACCTGTTTATCGTGAAAGACCAACTCACTTTATTACGAGACGAATCAATAGGTAACTCTTTTTTGTAATAAGTGTCAAATTTGTAAGTTTCAAAAACTTTAGGAACATGAAGAAGTTCCATGATGTCTGTGCCCAATAGTGACTCTTCATGACCATCGTCAATATCGGTAAGACCACCACCAGAAGAACACGGTGCCTATATTAAAATTACTTTGTTAAAAAACTCCTCTGCACATGTTACAATTAATGTGCAAATTTGCTACTCTATAAACAACCAAGTTTGCATATTAAGACAGTTTATAAACTAGCCAAACCAGCTACTTTAACACTAAAATTCAACTAAATTAGCGACTCAACACACCTAATTCAGTTAACTTTTAGTTTCTTAATTGTTCTATACTTATAATTTAAATTTCCTTTTATATTTTAGTTTGCAAACTAGAAAAAAAAAACTATCTATCTAAATAAAAGTAGTTTATAAACTTGCCAAGTTCACATTAGCCGTAACATACAAAGATTTTTTAGACATTAAATATTAAGTTTGACTTTTTAAGAAAGTAAGCATTGTTGGCTTATAAGCTAGTATTGGCTTATAAGTCAACAATGCATGTCCCCAAGTTTGCTGAACATTTTCAATCTACAAATAATTTCTAAAATTTTATTTTGAATGTTTCTGAGCTTAATTTGTAAAATGTACATTTTCTTTTGAATACCTGAAACCTACGGAGAAGTGCTTTGCAATGTGGCTCTATGGACTTCAAAAATGTATTGACAGTAATGGTGATTACTAGAGTTTCTATATCTGAATAGAGAAACTCCAGTGATTACAATATGTAGAAAAGCCTCATAATGTTTAAATGTTTAAGCATGTGTTTCCTATCTTTAAACTCATAAATTAAGAAAATTTTTGTTAGTCCCCTCGTATTAATTAAAGTTTTTGACCAGAACTTACTTCTGCTTCAGGAAAGTAGGTGTTCAATTCTTTTTTAATGTATTCCTGTTGTTCAGTGTCTGATTCTGATTCAGAATCGGAAGTGTCATAGTTATTTTCTTCAGGTATTTCATAATCCATGATTCCATTTACAACACCTAACACAGGGACAGGTTCAATCCTGTCGTTTAAGAAATCAGAGAGTAAATCACTCATTTTGCCCAAAAGAAGATAACACAAAACAAATATAAACGTAACCTCAACTGCAGTAACAAAATAGCAGTTTGTTAACAAGTGTAATTTCTATAATTGTTTATGCATTTCTGCTGCATAACACCTGTACACAAATAAGAAATCTCATTTTCTTATTATTTTCTTTCCTTTCACGAATTCTAAAAAACGAACACTATTATACCACAGTCAAAAAAAGTAAGAAAACCACAAAACCACTGACAAAACACATACCTAAACCACGTGACCGCTTGTTTAACAGTGCTACCAAACCTTTTTTGTTTGTTGAAAAATATTATTCCCTAGGTTTGAAAGGAGGACATGTGGTCTGTGGTCTCTGCAGTGTTCTAACCTTAAATGTATTCCGTTTATATTCTAACATATTAACTTAAAAAATGACCATAATGCCCAAAGTAATAGAAACTAACGGTTCGCTAGTGCTTTTACACGTATTTTCAAAAATAGTTTATTTTTCTGTTGTAGATTCAGAAGAAAGTGTTGCAAGTAGTGAAAATGAAGTAGAATCTGTTGTATCAGACACTGATAATACTCCCGGTACAACGAATGCAGGATGGGCGGACTCTATAGCGAAAATTTTAAAAACAAACAAGCCAAAAGGCAAAAAAACTTTAGTTTTATCCAAAGCAAAGAAATTAACAGATGTTAAAAGAAAGAAAACGGTACCTACTGGGTTTGAAGTGGCTACTGCAGATGGAGATGTCAAACAAGAAGAAATTGAAGTTGAGGATAATGAAACTAGTGAACAATCAATTAAACGAAAGGTTTGTTATTTCATTTGTATAATTGTATTTTTCACCAAGTTATAATTTAAGAAACAAGAGCTGCCTAACCTGAGGGTGAAACCAAATATTTTGGAGAAAGACCGGGAAAGAACGTTATCAAAAATTGCCACAAGGGGTGTAGTTCAGTTATTCAATGCTGTCAGAACACAACAAAAAGATATTAGTAAAAAGTTAGATGAAGCTGGGCCTTTGGAAGTGAGAAAAGAGAAAGTTTTAAAAAGTATCGACAAAAGAGCATTTTTGGACGTGTTAATGGGAGAAAAATCACAAGTTGTGAGTGATAAAGCTGACAATAGCATTCAGAAAAGTGAAGAATCAACTTGGAGTGTTTTACGCGATGATTTCATGATGGGGGCAAAAATGAAAGACTGGGATAAAGAGCTTGAAGAAGAAATGGAAACCGAGCAACAGGCTGAAGTGGAGTCTGAGTAATTTTTTTTGTATAAATGTAAAATAAAATTTTATATTTGAAAATCTCGCTTCTGCGCAGTTTTTTTCCTGTTATCTTGTATTACTAGTTGCCTACCTGCCGACGTCCAGCGTCCCTAGCGTCGCATCGATTTCATCTTATCCCGCATACAAACTTTTGAACACCGTATTACGATGAAAAGACAGAATGTTCGGACTTTATCTTTAGTTGTTTGTACATTTACTTATTTATTGATCGGTGCGGCTGTTTTCGACGCCCTTGAATCGAAAGAGGAAAGTAGGCGAGATGAATTACTTAAAAGTATGTATTCCTCAAACCTAAGCTCTTTCTTTAATATCAATCACTGACAGCTTCCACAAGCGCTCTCAAGAGCAAATACAACATATCAGAAGACGATTATAGGATGATCGAACTCGTAATTACCGAATATAAGCCACACAAAGCGGGACCTCAATGGAAATTCGCGGGAGCATTTTATTTTGCTACTGTAGTGTTAGCTATGATCGGCTACGGTCACTCCACACCTGTAACAGCCGGCGGGAAGGCTTTCTGTATGGGATACGCCATGGTATTGTGCTAAAAAACTTATTAAAAAAGAAAATGGAATTTTTTCAAAATTATTTCAGGTCGGGATTCCTTTGGGTCTTGTTATGTTCCAAAGTATTGGTGAACGTTTGAACAAATTTGCTTCGGTTGTTATCCGACAAATAAAGAAATATTTGCATTGCAAAAAGATCGAAGCTACTGAAATGAATCTAATGTTTGCCACTGGAATGCTTTCTTCCATCATTATCACAACAGGAGCTGCGGTTTTTTCTAGATACGAGGGCTGGACATACTTTGATAGCTTTTATTACTGCTTTGTAACACTGACGACTATCGGATTTGGGGATTATGTTGCTTTGCAAAACGATAATGCCCTCAAAGACAAACCTGGTTATGTCGCTCTAAGTCTTGTTTTTATCTTATTTGGTTTAGCTGTGGTCGCTGCTAGTATTAATCTCTTGGTCCTTCGCTTCATGACAATGTAAGTATTTAAAACTAAGAAACTTAAAATGTTACCGACACTGTAATCACTTTTTATTATTTTAGGAACGCTGAAGACATCAGACGCGATGATCAAGACCTTCAGTCTTCCTCTCACCACGTTTTGACCCTGGATGGTGAAGTAATGGCCGTAAATGGGAAGCTACTAGCAGGCCACGCATTTGTAGGAGAACCCGGGGAAATCGACCAAATGTCAGTATGTTCATGTAATTGTCTCGGTCTTAACCACGGAGAGAACCAAGAACTGCTACTAGACACCAGCTATCATCCCTCGCAAACTGTTTTAGCTTCCAGTTTAAAAATAAAGCGAGCATCTGTGTGACATAATTTTAAACACAAATATAGTCTTCAGTAAACTTCCGAAACGACGAGTAACAGGTGTGCCGAACTTAAAATCGTACAGAGAGATTTTACAATTCCCAGTTTTTTAATGGCTCAGATATGTTTGTATGATCACTCTGTATATATCGCGTAGTAAATGTGATCGATGTACCTATTTGTTTTTTTTTGATATTTTTAGACCAATAATAATTGTTGTAATTAAATGTTAATTGGGTTAAACTCAATATACAATTCTATCAATGTTTTAATGTGATAATTGTAATTTTTATATGTACATTTTTTAGTAATTAAACGTTATTATAAAAGTTTGTTAAATTTTGGATTACTTCGCTATTGTAACCCTCTAAGACAGGTTTACCAACTTTGTAGCAACAACTCTCAAAAAGCGGTATTCTGTCGGTTTGGTACCAGACATTTTTAACCCCACTGTCCTCTAAGTCAAGTGTGTTCAACTGTAGGACCCCAAAGTGGAACAAGTGGCCATTTGTATGCACACATTGAACTGTCACAGGCTTCGGCAAAATTTTAACGTCCTGAAACACTCAAATAAATAAAAACATTATCCAATTTTAAACTTTTACCCCAAATTTCTGTTTAGCATATGACGCAGCCACTGTAAAAGTTTTCAAAAGGGAGCGTCCAAAAATTTGCTCATCTGTTACAGGTTCTTCAAATATATTTTTTACATCGGTTTCCACATGCGGTATGAAAATTGTATGAGGGTGGGATTTGGCGAATTGAATGTTTACAGCTAACACAATTTCTTTCAAAGGTGGTTAAAAATGTTGTTGCAACTTACGATAAATTCCCCTAACTGTGTAAATATTTTCCTCATTTAGAGTTATGGTAGGCTCTATTGGAAAAATATCAGGTAATTCGAGTTCTTTGGTTGGTTGGTCAGTGATGGCAGTTAAAGGCGATGTCGATGTTAAAAGAGTGTCTCCTTTTAATTCAAACTGGATCAGTTTTCCGTATTTTTCAAAATTGTATGAGAAATGTGTGTCGTCAATTATGAAACGATTTTTGACCAAATCCAAGTCACTGGTGTTTTCTATTAGTTGCAATAAATTTGATAACAGCAACTTACTAAAAATTAATAATTAATTTAAAATTTAAACATATACAATAAAATTACATCACTCTGGGTTGAGTTATGCCATAAACACGGGGAAAATTCCAAGCAGGTCTCTCAGGGTCCTTCAATTTCGGCAGCTTTTGTTGCTCTGCATCAAACACATGTGACGAAAGAATTATCTCCTTTACTTTGTTATCAATTTCTTTTTTAATTTTCAGTTCTGTGCTCTTAGGTAAATCTTCTTTAAGTTCCACAGTATTCGTTAAAATCTTAGCCTGCTTAAGGCCATCTAACAACACGTTGTTGTCTTTATAAGTGAGCAAAATTCTGTCATGCCAGTTTGGATGAGTGTTATCAAAAGCGATTGGTGGCGTCTTAAACCCCACAACTTCCACTCTAAAAAACTATTATTATCAATATTCAACAAAAATTCAAGCATTACTTTTCAAATTCATGTTTTTGCCTAAATGCTTCTTTCAAGACGTCCTCAGCTCTTACTACGGGAATGCCTTTCTCTAACAACTTTTTCTCAACTCTTGTATCTTCAATTTTTTTTATGCTTTTATTCGCCCATAGTTTCTTAAAGTGCCAACCGATATGTTGCTTGCAAAGTTGCTGAGAAAGCCGCATTTTGGTTCAGGGATCGTTCCAAGATAACCTCACTTTACAACTTAACCTCAAATCTGACACTTGACCTAACCTCCATTTGCATGAAAATCGGTCTGTTTTAAAGTAAATAAAAACACAAGTATTTTAACAAGTTTTATTGTTGGCCCTTGTTTTATATTTACATTATAAAAAATTAAATGGGGACAGATTAATAATATATAAGCCAATAAAACAACCGCTTTTTAATTAACTTTCCACTTAAATTAAGGCCCTTGAAAATAATAAGTTTTACTTTGGAAATCCTAACTTGAGGATTTTTTCATGATCCATAATTTTATCTAATTTGTCTAAATTATCCCACCACAGTTTAAGTCTGTGCTTGAGGATAAGATTAAACCAGGGCGTAAGAGTCCCTAGAGTTGGTAAATGCTGATCTAATTCATGTCTTGGGACATAACTAATTTCAGAGATTTCGTTTGGATTTGGATTTACAGGGACATCACCTTGGAAGAACAAGACATAATCAATCTCATGTTCACCCCATTCCCCATTTCCATCATCCTTATAGTGCACTCTTGTAATATAATCAAACTTCTCTAAAGGTAACTTATCTTTAGGTATCCCCAATTCAAATCCTAACCTCCTCTGAGCCGCCTTTTTCACGCCTAAAGCATCACATTCCTCTCCTTCACCTTCAATATCTACAATGGGGTGACTACAACACGAATTTGTGTACAATCCAGGGTATGTGATCTAAAAATTCACAATTAGATAAATCTTAACGAAAGAGAAAGCGTCCCACTTTTTCCTCTGAACGTCTTTGCAACAGCAAATCTCCATGACTGCTAAATAGAAACACACTGAAGGCCCTATGTAGCGGAATTTCCCCGTCTTTCTTCACTTGATGGCATTCTCTCTTAGAGGCATGCCCTATAACTTTGTCATTCTCATCAACAAGAAAGAGTTTCTCTTCAAGAGCAACTTCTTGACTCTTCTCAGCTTCACTTTTCTCTCCTTTGGTAGATTTGGCCCTCAATATAAAACTGTTTTGCAAGGTTCGATTTGCAGCTTTCTTTATAAAATTTCTAAAAGGTAGAGTCAGCATCATGATTATAACCAACACCCAAGACAGGTTTCTATCGTTAGCTCTATTCACATAGAAAACACATAACACTTTATTTACACCAGTTTTTAACTACAATCGTTCTACAGTAGTATAAATGTTGATGATTTTCTATTTTTTGCGAAATGAAATTGGTTAAATTGCAACACTAAAATGACAAACGTCAAACTATTATACGAGGCGTCAGTGGTTATGCAACTAACTATACAATTTTGCGATACGTAGTGCCTAAATAAATGCTTTTAGCCAGTGTCGTAGTTGAAAGATTTTCTGAGAGAAATGCAGGGGCGGCGCGCATGCTTCCATTTAGAACAAGCGCACGCCACAATTCCACTTTCTCTAAACTACTACGAAGTATTGGTTCAAATTTAAAATGCAGCGATTTAAAACTTTTGTTCTTTTCTTTATCACTTATTGGGGTGAGATAAATGTTTTATGGATGAAAGGATTTACAGTTTTCAATTAATCATTATTAAACAATAGATGTTTTGTGTATTTATTTATTTTTTGCTTAACTTGGTTATTGGGAAGGGTTTCACACGCGAATGGTTCCAATAAATTCAAGCTTTAACGCACCCTTTGAAGATAAATTTAGCTCGACGCATCTTCTAAACGTGACCTCAGAAAGAATGTAAATATTTAAAAAAAATCGATTTGTTTCAGAATTCAAGTTAAGTTCAGCCGTTCAAATAAATTACATTAAAGTTCCAAGTGCGGTGAAGAATGACTCAGGATCTCCGGTGATTCTAGATTGTAATTACTCAGTCAGACCTGATGATAGTGAATTAGTGGTCAAATGGTTGTTAAACGACGAAGTGGTGTACCAGTGGATACCACCACAAAAACCACAAAGTTTAGGGCGACTGAAAAATCGGGTTGATTTGAGTTACAAGGCGGTGACCGACGATCCGAAAAGTGTTTACAGAGCTATGAAAATTTGGAATCCTACTACAGACATTGCGGGGGAGTACCGATGTTTCGTGTCGACGTTCGCCGATGAAGATTTTAGTGTGAAGAATATGATAGTTTTTGGTAATTGTTGATAATTTTAATAGGGAGATTTTTTATTTTTCTAATCGTAGAACCTGAACGCTCCCTTGTTATCTTAAAGCAAGAATTTAACCACCAAAGTGTTAACTTTACTTGTTATGCTAATGAAGTATATCCAGCACCAAAATTAATTCTTTACAAGGACCGGACTGACGATTTTTACAATAAGTAGTAATGCGTGTGTTATGATACAACAAAAGATAAGAACAAATTTTAGAAATCCGCTTCAAACTCTTGAATGGAACACCAGTCGGCATCCAAATGGCCGCTTCTCTGTGTTTGTCGTTGCTCACGCAATGGTAGATTCTTTAGCTCCTGGAACTTTAATCCACTGCGAGTTGCGCATTCCTGGCACTGGTTATGTTAAGAAACGAAGTTTACTTTATTATCCAACAGGTATGGCACACAAATTTATTATCCATTAAATAAAAAATAATTTTATATTATTACAAACTAAGCTCAAACTGGATGTGGTGAGTTTTGTACATAAGTAATTTAAATTTGATCTTACAGATTTTTTTCAGGGAGAGTTTTAGACAGATGTAGCGCTCAACTCGTCTCGATTTTGTGTTTACTGATTTTAGCTTTCAGCATTTAATTGTGGATTTCTTAGGACGATAATAATTTATTATAATTGTGTTAACCTGGTGTTTATAGATGGCCCATTTGCGAAATCTACATCAAAAAACGCAAGTTTAAATTTTATGTATAAATCTGTGGTTTGAAGTTAAAAGCGCCAATGTCAAAATTGAGACATGTGAGAAAATTGCAACTAAAGCGCTTACATAAAAGAAAAAAATCTTTTTAATTACAGCTGAGAGGAAGTCCAAGTTTTACTCATAAACGTTATAATATCTTAAAAAAAAATTGATAGTGTATTTAAAATTAAAAATTAAAATATTTTGTAAAATGACATCGGCCCTCTCAGCTCCTTTTAGCTACTCGAATAATAGCAAATTAAAAACAATAATTTGGTTGGGCTGCACAGAAATTAGACAAAGAATGTGTTTTTTTTTAATTTTGATGTAATAGAGAAGGAAAAAATATGTTTCTTAATGTGTGTTGATGTTTGTTGTCGTCGTTAAATCGATCCTTGCTCGCCACTCATCTTTTCTGCCTTAAATTAATATTGCGGTTCTTGTAATTTATTGTCGCCCATGAAATTAGTGAAAAACATCACGCCCTTGTGACGTCCTATTTTACGAGTCGCTGTAATATGTTTAAAACCCATAAAACTTTAAGAGACTCAAAACTTTAGGTGTTAGACGGTGCCTTGCACCGTCCAATTTGTTTCATTGTTATTTCAGGTGTGAACTTGTATTTTTGTAAAATAGAAACCTCATGATTATTTATTAATAAATAAATAAAAAATGTATAAATATGGTAATAAAAATTCATACAATTACCCAATATTATTGTTACAATACACTATCGCTATGATTAGAAAGTTCCTCACGCGAGGCTTCAACCACTTGGCGTCTCATACTCGCCAGCTGTCTTAAATACGCACTGGGGGTACAAGAAGAGTGTCTCTTCGTGCGTCTGGGCAAACTTCCGTAGTCTGAGAAAGTGACAGAATTGCTTTCTAAACTTGTATCTTCATGATGATAAAAATCCCAAGGATTGTAAATGTTTTCGTCAGTAGCAGCAGCAATTTTTTCTTCTAATCTACGACAAGAATCTTCCAACAGTAACTCATACTTGTTGGTAAGTTCCAAATCATCTTCAGTTTGAATGCAGTTCGATTTTGTTGGTACCTCTTCAGTTTGACATTTAACATTTTTGAAAACTCGTCTTTTTCTCCTCCGTTTTTGTTCCACTAAACCATTAATAGAGACATGAACGTCGTATTCACGTTCCTGTTCCTGAACATGTGTCGCAGTTTTTGACAAATTGTTCATCAGAATTGTGGCTTCTTCCAAAAAATCTGACATGGCTTTCATCATTCGTTCATTTCGACAAGTTCCAGATTTATTAAAATGGACTTTCTTTGAGTTTGCCATATGATACTCCAGTGAATCTGGAAGTTCCTCTGGTTCCACGCTCCCCTCTGGGATGTGTTTCATAATTGATTTCAGTACCAAAGGCTCAATTAATGTTATACAATCGTCATTGTAGCATTTAGAATGAATTACATTAGGTTTGGCCATCTCTGGCACTTCTGGAGTAAAGACCTCGCATCTGTGGAGAGTCTCCTCTTGGTAACAAACCTGTGGTGCATTAATACTCGGAATGTTAACATAACTGACACGTTCTTGACACATTGGAATCGTAGAAGTGTTGGCAACAAAACTTTGAGAGTTGTCTTGTACTAAATCAAATACTAGACCTTCTTCTTGTTCGAGAATGTTACAAGATGCATGACGCAGTTTACTTTCGAGAGTCTCTTTCGAAGGCTCTAACGAGTTGTGGTTGCTGATTAAATCGGGAGTTGGAAAACAAACATTTGATTGGTCATCCAAACTATCATCAGAGACACTTTCGAGAATTTTCCGTCCGTTAATATAATTGTGCGAAATGTTAATATTGACTGAAGAAGTGTAAATTGGATTGGCAGTGTGAGGATTAAATATTTCCATTTTTGGTGGATCTTGTAAATATTTTGTGAAAGAAACACTCGATTGAGATTGGGCTTGAGTACCGCAACTTCTCGTCACAATAAACGCATTTTGCAAACTGTCAAGAAACGCACAACTGACTCCTTTGTCCTCCATCGGTAAAGCTTCAGTTGAAGTTTCAACATCTCGTACTTCGTACAACAAAGATTTCAAATCGTCGACATCAGTTGATGTTTCTTTGACTCTCAAAACGGGGAAAAGTTCAGTTTGTGTCTCCTCATTTCGAAATTTGTGTGCTTTGAGTGCTCTTCTTGTCAGTTCTTTTAACTGAAGACGAGCATTCGAACAAATACTTAACTCTTTTGGCGGTCCTGTAGGTAGATCAAAAGTATCAGTAGCAACCTCTTTTTTCTTGGTTTTGGCGTAAAGTCGATGAGTGACCGCGGCCACGATTTGGGATCGTGGTTTGATTGAAGTTCTTCGGATTGAATCGACTTTAGCCTCGACTTTAGGTTTGGTTTCTGAGACTATACCCTTATCATTTTTGGTTGGTTTGATTTTTCGTAAAGCTTCTTCCGAGCCGTATTTGCGAGTGGGTACTATGGGTTTTTTGAGGGGATGATCGATGCTGGATGTGCGTCGAAGACGGGATGGTTCGGGTTTGTTCGAGTCAGTGAAACTCATCACAGGGATGAGTTTCTCGGTGGTGTTGAAATTATCGTTAGACATTGGCTTCTGGAACTTGAGAGAAAAATTGCAAAAGAATAATGATGTAAGTATTTACTTACAAGTTGTAAAAATATGAAAATAGAAAATAAATGCTCAGTTGTATCAACATCATGATACTAAGATTAGCTTAATGTTTAAAGTTCAAACCGACTCACCTGACCTAAGCTGAGCAGCTCCCTAAGTCTTGCAATTTCAGCTCTTAATTCCCTGATGGTCTTCTCTTTCGGGTCTTCATTAACGACTGGAATGGACACAATTAGCTTGGCCCGTTGCCCAAACCTCAAAGTATTCACCGTCTCACTATAGCACTCGCTGGATGGAGAAATAGCTACAACAAACCAATAGATTCAAAAAGAGGTAACTTCTTCCCACTCACTCGCAATCATCACAGTGTCGGAGTTTCCTCCCAATGTGTCTTTTAATAGCCATGTCAGCACCGAATCCCTGAACGGAATAAACCTCCTTCTGATCCCCTTGGAGTTCTTGGCCGTGTCTTCGGCTGGAATTGAGAGCGGCGCCAGTCATTATATTTTTAGTCTTTTCACATAGTCACATACCCAAGGCCGAGATGACGTTACCCAAGGCCACTAAACTCTTGTTGATGTTAGCACCCTCTCGGAAACGGGAAGCGTTGTAGCACCTGTTTCCGGTCCGTTCACTTCCGGCTAAATCGACGAGGGTGAGTTTGATTTCGTCGAATTGTATAATGAAGACAGAGTGGCTGCGACTGGATTGAGGGTTGGTAAGGGTGGCACCCACACGACGGTTGCTGTTGCCTGTACTGAGGAGGCGAAGAAGAGTGCTGGAATCCAGTGCTGGGTGCGAAGACAAGCCTGGGAATTGGGTCAAAGTGGAATAAAAGAATTATGTAACTGGTGGATTCCCAGCAATGGTTTTGTGATGTGCAAACTGGGCGGAGAGGTGGTTATATAATAGTATGTGAGCAACAGAAAATTACAATAGACACAATAAATTAGTGGATTGATATCTTATGTAATAATGTAATTAAAAATGTATTTGGTGTAACGAGTTTCATAATTTTTGGAATGTGATTAAAAATTAGAGATATAAACCATACCTACATAAAAGTAAAAAGATTTTTTTTCTTTAAAACATTATTTTAAAGCTGCAATTTTAATAAATCGTACACACATTATGTATAGCTTCAAACAAAATGTAAAGTTGTTTTCAAGTTGTTATACAGGGACATTTTTTATTAGTATACATAGCCCTATGTATACAGTTAAAAAACCGGGTCAATTTCATAGTGTAAGCTTTTAGAGCGTACTATTTATTAAAATATTTAAAACTACAATTTTGTGTCAATGCAGACTGTTAATAGCCCTTACCCCCCTTAAACTATTTCTCCCTTGATACCCCACAAACATTTCAATTTTTTCTTCTTTAATGTACATTGTATCACAAATGGTATTAACTTTTTAAAGCTGCGATTACGGATACCTAAAGACTAGGATACGACACGATGTAAAACAAAACGTCCCCAAACTCGATAGTTCCGTTAGCGAGGCCAGATAGCGCAGTTGTTCCTTTCCCGTTCAAGTTTTAAGAGCAATGAAATAAAAAAAAATGGCTGTATTCACATAACGGTGAGCAAAACGCAAATAAAAAAAATATAGGCAGATAGAGCATTAAATTCTCAATAATAAGAGATAATGGTAATGCAAAAATTTTATTGAAAACTATATTTAAAAAAATTTCAAACATTTAGCAATTTGCGCCCCGTCTACGAATACGGTTAAATATACAAGAAAAATATAAAAAAGAAAGAATAAAATAATAAAAAGAGACAGAAAAATAATTTAAACCTAAACGCCTGAAGATAGAAATATGGTCTTTTTTGTAGGAAATTTAATACTCTACAACTTTGTTCCCTACACTTTTTTTGTATCTTTTACCATATTCGCAGCATTTCGCATGAAACGGAGCACAGATTTTAAATTTAATTTTTTTTTTCTCATATTTCTCGTGAAAAATTTCGTGAAATACAAAGGTCAACATTTCTGCATTTTTTTCCAAGCAATTAGTAAACTGGTTGAATTTAAATTATTTGAAAACAATTGGCAACTGAGACGATAAAACGCTCTAAGCGCCCTCTATTTTACTCCGCCGTACTACTTTTTTTGAGTCCAAAAAAATCAAACAATTTTGTATAGTCGTTTTCATATTAATGTGCATCGAAGTAGCTATTGACAGGGATTATTTTAAGTTGGCGACCATGCGAAAATTCAAACAAACCTGACCTCAATCCTTCCTAAAAATGTGTATCTCAGTTTTTGACGTAGCAAAAAATAATTAAAGCTAACAACGTAATTAACATAGGGTGGCAAACATAAAATTTTATGTCATTATACTCATTATTGATGTGAATAAATTTGTTCTGAATGACATTAATGACACTATTTGTGTGAATCGGCCTTTAAATTAAAGATGCATTTACAGCTCTACTGTAGTTCTTACTTGATGCACATTAATATGAAAAAGAGTATATCTTGTTTCGTCTCCTCGTATGTAGTTCTCCGTAGCTGCGATGTAAGTTTTAAGACTGACAGTTGACAAACTGACTTTAGTTTTGAATATTTTAACATCTAGAACCCTCTAAAAGCTTGAAATGTCAGTCGCCTATCTTATGAAATTGACCCGTTTTTTTTTAACTGTATATACAGAGAGCTATGTATATTAATAAAAAATGTCCCTGTACAATATTGCGACATGTAGGTAACATTTTAAATCAAATTTTTTCCTGACAATGTTTTTAACTTTTTCCATTAAAACAATTACTTATTACGTTTATTTTAATGTAAAACAAAATAACATTATGTACTATAGGTATAGAGTACTCTCTTCTTCTATAGAATAAGCCTTCTAGCATTCTTCTCATTTACCCGCTGCATAATCTTCCAATATTTTTACGTGTAAGAATAGCATGAATAAATAATTTTTCATAAATAATGTTCATATTAATCACCTGCTATTTAATAATAATGTAACATTCTTGATCAACAGACCATAAACTATGAAGACACTCTGTAATAGTTAATGTATTAACCGGATAATAAAATCCAGTTTTACAAGTACTTATTATAGTGGATAATTAATTAGTAAACTGACATAAGAAAATTTTATTTCAAGACAAAAAGTTTCCTTCTCTTAATTGTGTTCAGTGAAGATAGTAAGGTTTAATTATTTTTCTTTCAATCACTTCGACTTTTGTTTGTTTGCTTATAATAATTGTTTATACTATGAGTGAGATAAAAGTATCATCACAGCACCTACGAGTTATGCTCTAGCCCACGTATGATTTATAAAAATTCTGCAACTGATCTGGGCAAAATCATACTTTTATTCAAAATCAGGACCTGAAAAAGATTCTTTTCGTCCAATTATTTGGTAGTAATAATAAAATGTGTAAAAAAGTTGACATTTATTATCTTCAGGATTTTTTACATTACACCAACGTAATAACGGGTGTTTTATAAAATTTGTCGTCAAAGTTATCCATGACAGTTTGACTGTGAGCAAACCATCGTATTGAAAGTTATTAATCTGACATTTCGCCGGACGTATTAAAAATTGTGGTCCGTTCATAACACACTTATATCAACGCCAAATTTATATAAACACTCGTCAGTATGTTTGGAAATATGAGTGTGTAAATTGGATACAAAATATTTATAAGAAAGCAATATGCTTGTCACGCTTTGCTTGTGTCATTCGCTTGTCTAGTAAAAAAAAATACATATGGAACAGACACAATAATCTATAAGTTTTTTTTTATATAGAGAATGTAAACTTTTCAGTATATATACATTGGCGTACACGGAATTTTGGACATCAAATTCATGACAGTTCAAAAAATGGCAATGTAAGCCACGCTTTATTGTCATTATAATTGACGTTTAAAACTAAAATGTGAAAGTTTTAGTTGAAATTTATTGTTGAGGTCGATTTTCCGAAACAATAATGCCAGCAATACATGTTTTTATATAAGATCAATAAACAAAGACAAAAATTGCAAAAACCGAAAGTGAGGTTAGTTGCCTAAGGCCCGTTGTACATTTGTACATTACATTTTTCAGTCAAATGACAAATCGTCCGAAATTCCGCGTCCGCCAGTGTATGATTAATTATCTACTTAATTAATTTTATTAATAACACAAACAAAATAAACTTGGTTTTGTCTGTAAATGTAAAAAGAAGCCATTTTGAATTGATAAAAACAAACAATTGTTTTCATTACCTTGTACGTAAGGTCCTTTCTTCGGATGTTGCCTTATCCTCAGTGCGCACGTGTCATCCTTATGCAGCAAATCCCTTACTTTCTCATTGTATATCTCTAAATAACTATAAACAACATTTATTTCAATTTAAAAATAAATTAAAATAACTCGCGTGACTTTCGCTACCGGCAAACTCCGCGCACCAATGATCACTGTCTGAAATTTAGCTACAACACACTTTAACTTGTCAGAGAGTTGTAAAAGTAATAAGTAAATAGTGATAAAGTTGCACGAAAGCTTCCTCGGCCCTCGACGTAACAATAATTAATTGTTCATATCTTATAAGACAACTCAATTCCCGTCGCGAGTGAATTATGGTGGATGCGCTGGGTTAGAACGACAGTGAGCTAAAACAAATCAAAGTTGGGCAATTTCGAGTAGTAATTTAAACTAAACGCGTAGGTTTTGGACCAGTCCTGGTCGATAAACAATCATCCTTGCATGTGTGAAGTGTGAGAAACGCCGCTGTTGGGCCTTGATAACGGCAGTTATATAGGATTAGATCTGGTGGTGATAATAAGTATATTAAACGTTACTTCTGTTTAAAGAAAATAAGCACTCCAAACTACTTAAAATCGGTACAAAGTGAGCTAACTAAAACGATATGTACGTATGCTAAAGATTTTCGTTACTTAGTACTCGACGTTAGATAAAATTAAAGTATCTCATAAAACGTAATCGTCATGAGCCGTATGTGAGTCACGCACACAAACCACTATATAGGTGAAGTCTTTTTTTTATAGACGGAAATCACTAAGACACAATTTTGCTGAGAAAATTGGTAGCCGCAAGTTTTGTTTTTCTTCCTAGAAATTTTGTTAAAAAATTATAAATTATATTAAATGTCCTCAAAAATTTGAATGTTAAAAATTCTGTGTACCTGTTGACATTGAAAGCGTTATAATCGAATACCTAAAGACAGACATCACTATAACATTGATAAAAGCACACTGCAAGTAAAATCTAGCAAAAATGAGTTTGCTACAAAAACTTTAATGTCTATACAAAAGAATGTTATTTTGTATAAAGATACAGGCCGATATTATAAAGATTTTGTATAATTTATTGAAATGAGCTCAAAGTTGTTACAAGCTCTAAGTTCTTTTTCAGTTTTAGTTTCAAAATTCTTACTTTTTTAACTCGTTTTTCAAAAACGGTGCAACCAGACATTTTAATTCAATTGCGTTGCTTCTTATTTATGTTTATTTTAAACAAAAACATGATTAACCCGTCACACCAAACTTTTATTTAAAACACAACGCGTTTCAACCACAAAGTGGTCATCCTCAGGTGAGAATAAAACTAAACCATAGAGTTTACTCTCGCGTTGTGTTTTAAATAAAAGTTTGGTGTGACGGGTTAATCGTGTTTTTGTTCATCGTTTCCATACCAAGAAAATCCAAGAAGAAATATTTTTATATTTTCGTCAATTCGGTAAATTCTAGAATGTTTACCAAAACTGCATTACCAATTGCGTTTAAATTTTAACGGTGGTCTTTTTCTGACTTCAGATAATACAAAAAAAAAATACACTTTTCATCTACAAATTTTCAAAAACTGTTAATGGTATCGAATTTGTCCTCCTTTTTGTGTTTTCGTCTCTGGTTTATTTTCTTATAGGATTTTTTGCTGATGTTTAATTTGCTTGGTTATCTGCAAATTTCCCATTTACCCACATGTGTTGTGTTTTTATTTTTTTGTAAGTACTTCAAATAAAAAAATTCTGATAAATATCGAAAAATATAGTTTAATTCAGGTAGAAATTATATGGGTGTTTTTTTTTTTTTAATTTTGCGTCAAAGCTACCCATGAAAGTTTGATTGTGAACGATCCAACGTATTGTCAGACATATTAAAAATTGTGGTCCGTTCACAACACATTTATATCACCGCCAACTATGACGCCAAATTTAAATATACACCCTTTATTAAACATGTATCGTTTTAGTGAAGTCACTCTACAATTTTTATTAATATTTTTTTATAATGAATTTATTTCAAACAGTTTCATTTATTAGCAAACTACCTGCAAGTTACTTTTGTCTTGTCCATTTCATTCCCCACAGCACTTTCTTGCAAATAGTCGAATACCTTTTGACACAATTTTGGCGTAACCCCTGGATCATGCGGAAACCCCATCATGGTATGCGTCTTTCCGGACGAACTTTGTCCATACGCCAAAACGCATGAGTGATTTCTCCTTTTGATCGCTTTACTGATGACATTTTCAACAGCCTGGAACACCTGACGGGCCATAAAAGCACCCTTTAATCTTTCCATACCAGAATTTATAGCCTTCGAACAAAAATAGTGACCAATTAGGCGGCGATGCACCCAATTGGCCAACAAAAAGAAGTAAATACGTACATCATCCTGTGTGGAATTCTCATGCAAGCAGAAGTCGAAGGTGAATCTTCTGATGCGCTTGCGACTGTCGCCGGCATTCTGTTCGAGTACCTGTAGATATAATTAGATCAAAGGATGCCTTGAAATGCGTCAAATTAAAGATGAAAATGAATGAATTTGACGTTGGGAACGATGTTGTGGGCTTGTCTGTCGCTTTCAGATGGTATCACCTGCGAAGGGACAGTCGTAAATTCGAGGATGCACCACAAGACACGTGTTGAGAAGACGTTTACCACAACGTTTACATCTCAAAACAAACCGTTTGTTTTGCTGTTGAGTTCTGATCGTTGATAAGTGAAGCTTTTATTATAATTGTTTCTAAGGAGGGAAGAGAATGATTGGGACAATTTAACTTGGAGATGCTGCTATCTACTGTTATGATAATTGCTTCAAAATAGCTACATAAATAAGCATTTACAGTTTATTTAAAAAAAGTGTTTAATTTGTAAATTGTGCAAAAAAATAATAAACAGTCGCAAAACTAAATTACGTAAGCACAAGTTTTTGTTTTCAATAAATTAATTTTTCAGTATTTCAGTGCAATTTATTACTTATTACTTAGTGCAAAAGCATAAACATTAGGAAGGAAAAAGTACGAGTATAGGTGTACATAAAGCAAATTCCAAAAACATCCAAATAAAAGTTCCGTCAAGTTGTCCCACTGATTTATTGACAAAAAAAATTAAAATTTTATTTCCAACTACATTAGTGATTACTGTAAACGTATTCCTAAGAAAATGTTTAGTTTATATAGTTAGTTTATATCTTTGTATTTATGTTTCACCTGAAGATTTTTATTTTTAGATGACTGTTTAATCTTTCACATTTTCTTATACTTCTCTTGGAATGTATTAGAATTAGGTTTAACTTTGGTTGTAGTCTTACGAATATAAAACATTTTTTGATCACCAGCGTAAACGTAAATGCTCAAAATCGTAGGCCACACCTTTAATAATTATTATTATTTATGTTATAGTAACAATAACATAAGAGTAAATGTAGCAAGAAATTTTGCCACGTGAAAAGTTTATTTACTTAGTTAAAAAAATACTATGAATAAGAATTTTTTGAATTAAGTACCTACCTACTGAAAAACTATTTTTGATTCGATTTTGATAAAAAAATTATATTATTTTAGCAGTTTCAGTCAACAATGCTAATTAAACACTCTCATACAGATTGTCCTAGCAAAAACTTTCTCAACGTCTGTTATAATAAATTGACCAAAGTCAAAAATCAAAATATGTAAAAGTAAAAATATCCCCACAGGGGATAAAAATATCGGTCAGGTATATTTGCATCTAAATAAACCAAATCTGTGACTTGAAAAAAAAAATTATACCATGCATTCAATAAATTTCGGTTCAAAGTCACTTGACTTTGAAATTAAGTTGGCAACACCGAATTATTGTTACAGATTGTGTAAGACGGCGGCTAAGCCAGTGGCCGCCCCTCGAGAATAAATGACAATTAACGATAAGGTATAAGCTATAATTATGTTACCAACATAATTTCAAAGACACTTTGATCGGAAATTTATTTGAAAGTATTAAGAATACTAAGATTGACGTTTATGATTATTTTTAGTTTGTATTCCTCTAGTGATTATTGATTTTAATTGCTAAATCAGGCCACAGTCTCAGCTGAAATACCATGTATTGCAATTAAATCTAGTGCTCTGAGGAGAACAATAATAAATATGCAACCTTTTTTCCTACACTAAAATACACAAATGCCAGTGTGTATCAATTTCGTAATTTTCAGAAAATTAAAAATACATTGTCTTTCTGTGGATTAATAAAGGAATATTACCACAAAATATCAAAATAGTTTTACCTTATATTCTCACAAAACTATCAAATGTGAGTTGGCAATAGCAATCATTTATATTTTTGCATTTCTATAATGATTGTTTTGGCAAGAATATTAGTCAAATTTGTCATTCTTAAAAAAAATGCTGATTAAAAACTGTTTATTATCTTATTTAGACGTTGTTACATTTTAAAATAAAAATAAAACAAAAATAAACAGTTTCAGCTCGCTCGAGTCTGCAATTATGACACTAATCATCTGATGTTCTTGTTTTACCAAACAGAAATAGACTCTCATTAAAACAATGTCACTTCTTATCTTTACAACATAGTCCCTTTTTTCAGAATGTTTATTCGACCCAACCTATTTTATAATTAGAATTGTGAGTAAACCGATTTTAATTTTAGAATCGCAATGCATCATTCACTTTATCTTAATTAAAATAAATCACATGTTAATCCGGCGACAAGTGTAAAGTGGCTCTCGAACAAACTCTTCCGCTAATTACCTTGATATTCGTCACGGCCACAGTTTTCCCATCGTTCTCAACTTCCAAAATCGTAGAGGAATTGCCCTCAAACTCTCTGTAAACAAAATGAGACTTGTAACATGTAAACAAATTCCTGCTGAGAATAAAGCGTGCAAAGAGAATAAGAACAAGAAGTGAAGAGAAGTCGACATAAACAACACGGTGAGCTTGAGAAAGAGTGCACTGACTTTTTGCACTGCTGCCTCTAAATTTAGACGTTTCCGTGGGATATGCTGCACACGTGACCGGTGTTCTTTGTTTACTCTTCCCGACAAACCCTTAACACCACATCCCTCCCAAAAATATCAAGAGTAGGAACACAATTTTTAGAATCTAACTGTTCACAATTTAACAGAATATTACTCGTAAAAACATTTATAATAAAAATTTTCAAAATTTTCAAACTAAGCATCAAAAAGTAATTCATAATATATAGATTAAGTAACTTTACTTTTCTTTAAAGAATGTCTTATTCAGCTAGTTTGAGTGCTCATTATTATAACTATCACAAAAATCAAAATTTTGAATTTAGTTTTTGAGAAACATACCTCCGAGAGAGTGGCCGCACTCGTACTCCAACCTTCAGATGAGTCATCTTCTTTCAGAACACTTATACACACTGACACAGCCGACATCTGGATCGACTCCAGCCTCCCGCCAGTGTCGCGTTGTATCTATATTTGAATTTTCTATTTCCAAAACGGTTCAAATCGAATATTTATCAGGAAAAATTGTGGTAATTATTGTTGGCTAGTTGGTGTTGTGTCGGATGTTAATAATTAAATCAACTGTCTTGGAGAATTTAAAATGAAATGATGTCCAAACGTTCATTATTTTCGTTTTTTTTTTTGGCTTTAAAGCTTCTAGCTTATGTAAATAAAAATATGTTCTCATTATTTTTGCAAATCTAGAAAAAAAAGCTTTAAAAAAACTAAATTTATTGTAGGTACGTAGGTAGTAACCTACTAGACACTGGTCGTTTTTTTGTTTTTTACTTTTAAAATTTTCAACTACATACAATTTTACTAAAAAACTATTTGGAATACACAAAGTTTAAACATCTCGAGTATAAAGCTAGATTTACAACAAACCGCGATGATGAAATCTCTAAAGTTCTCCTTAGATATTTTCTTTTAAAGTCTGTGCCAACTTTTCACATGTAAGGTAATTTCATTGCTACTTTATGATTGTGAATAAAAAATATTATTTTCGGAAAGGTTAGATATCCGTTTTAATATGTACTACCTACCTACATTGTTGCGAAAGTAATAATCTAACAAAAAATGTATAAATATGAAAAAGTAACAATGTAATAATATTTTAGAATGAACAATATGGTATTGCCCATAAGTAAATTACAAGTTTCCAATAAAATTGCAATAAATCTCAAGCAGTTTTAAAGTCTTCCAAAATTTGAATTAACACATTTTTAAATAATTAGGAGCGTTATTTCAGTTTCCGGTACTTTTTTATACTGTTTACTGTTATAAAAGTAGTAAATACTTCGCAGATGTCCCAAAGAAGAAACTGAGGCTTTTCGAAAAGTACCACTTAGTTTTTTGATGCTAAAATAAAAAAAACAAGTCGTAGGTATAGGCATAAAGTAAATATTGAAAATGATAACATTTCATTTGTTAACAAAGAAAAAAATGATAACATTTCATTTGTTAACAAAGAAAAGACTGATGAGGGCTCATACTGGTTACAATGACAAATATATAGCAGTGATATTTAAAAAAATAAAAGATTTTCTTTGAAAGTATAAGTTACAGAAAAAAGGTGAGAAAGAGGAAGAAACTTAAAAGCTAACGAAAAAGAAAACAATTCTGGTAAAACCAATATTTTATTCAAACATCACTATTTAATACATAGTTATACGTATGGATAACACAAAAAATACAGCGTGAAAAGAATTCCTTGAATGAGACTTTTCGCCGCATCAACGTGTTATAATTATTTTTTTAAATAATAACTTAATAGTAGAATATACTTTAGGTTTGAGACCACGATAAAAAACTTGTTAACATTCAGAACGTATCATTAAAAACATCTTATTGCAAGTTTTAACAGTAATCAAATGTGCAAAAATTTATTATATTGTCTCTTCCATGCGCTTGCGGCGCCGCCTGGACTTGAAAAAATATAAACATATAACTATCTGATCTGAAAGACTTATCACAATAATGATATTTACACAGACAGCTCGATCAGTGGCGCTGACCCTCGCTAAATCAAGAGAGCACATTATCTTAACTTTATACATTATCTATATCTTACTTAATAAAATCACACGTAATTTTGTTGTTGATTCTGATTGGTTGTGCAAATGAGCAATAGCGCCTGCGTGTTTAACACAAATGACATGTTCAGTCGCCAGGTGGCGTTTGTTCAACACGCAGTTTACGAAATTTGAATGATTAAGTGATGGTTTTCCGATTGATAGGCACCAGTTTGTGTGGAGGGCGAGGGATGCGACGCGAGTTGGGATCAGTCATCTTCCTTCTTCTCTGGCTTGAGATCTACCATTGCGTGCAGCTCCTCTGGACTATACCTAAAACCGATACGGCCACTAACGACTTTCTCTCTTTTTACCAGTCATCGCCAACTCACCCTAACAAGGTCTGTAAGTCGCAGACGAAGCGATAGACGTAACGCTTCCCGGCAGTCTTGTGGATAATGTTTTTGTCGTAGTAGTATCGAAGACCACGCGACAGCTTCTCGTAATTCATCTTCGGCTTGTTCTTGCGAATGCCCCAGCGTCGCGCCACTTCGTCAGGATCTGTTAGTTTAAATTCCCAGCCGTCGCCGGTCCAGGATATAAACGTTTGGCAGGATTTGTCCGTTAGGAGTTCGAGTAGGAATTGCCATAACTGGATAGGACCCGAACCTAAAACAAAAAACACAAATATTAATTAGGTACTTTAGAACTACTTCATTAATTCAATAAAGAAAAAATATGAGAAAAACATAATCTTTAACACAAACCATTCAAACGCTATTAATTTGCTGAGTGTAAAATGCAACAAACTAATAATTGTATTTTAGAAAAATAACGTCTTTAATTTAGTTATTTAATCGAAAAAAAATTTTTTTAAGCAAATTCACAATAGTTGTAGAAGTTCGTGATAAATAAAGTTTCAGTTAAGAAAAAAATTGTTGAGGTTGTTCAGTATTTTCTTTCTTTGGACCATTAATTATGTAAAATTTTGATTCAAAGAGCGCACATAAAATAAAGAAGTTATTGAATCAATTTGCATTTTTTACTTTACAGAAAAATTTCTCCAGTGTAAATTGAGACACGTGTATGTACTTACTCCTCAGTCTTTGTTCCAAATAGTAAAATTGCTTTTCGAGTTAACTTTTTTTTTGTTATGTATGTAAAAAAGCGTGTTTTTACCTGTGAAGCAGGGACCTCCCGGCGCCCCACTATTGGGATATCCCGTGATCATCCCATTTTGGAGCATAGGTTTGGTATCTGGTCCCAGTGGATTGATAGGATCCCTCCCTTGCATCCCGGCCGATAAAAACGCGGGATGCGTGTGCGCATGCGCTATGGAACCGAGATCGTGATTGTGGGTCCATTGGTCTGGAGCGCCATTGTTAGCACTGGGAACGGTCTGGAAAGGGGTACCGTCGTAGGGAGAACCATATGTGTCGCCGTAACCATCGGTATACCTTCCCGTACCTATTCCAAAAAATAAATTTGAAACATTTGCAGCAAATACTAGTTATTTATGTAACAAGGGGATAAATAACAATTTTAATCTCAAGAATATAGGTAATGCCTCAAGCGACCGAAGAGGGCCGAAAGTATTTTCATTTTAGAAGAATTAATAATGTTGTTTATTCCAAAAATGCATAGAAAACTTCTCCCAATAGACTAAATTTATAAACATAAGAAATTGATAAGTTTGTCAAATAATAAAAATCGATATCAAGGAGTTTGATTATGTTAAAAACACTCAAAAGATTCAATTCCAGTTTATATTTACAGTTTTTAAGAGTAATAATCGGTATTTCACATATTTTATTCCCAAGAAAATAATGTACCAGATCATTAGTCAAAAACGAGGGATTGAAGCGTTACTTTATTCCCTGTCGAGAGGGAATAATATTATTGATCGTTATCATCGTTATTCTTATCATTTACATATTTTCATGCACAAGCAAGTACGCTTATCGACATTTCATTAGGCAAGGATGGTCTATTGTTCCAAACTGGGTTCTCTATTTATGGAGGGCCATTACTTGAACCTTGAATTTAAATTACAGTCGCGAAGGTCATTAACACCGTACCGTCTAGATTATTTCTAGAATCGGGGGCGATTTTGCTCTGAATATGCAACAAGTGAAGGTCGTGAGAACTCGATGAAAAGCCCAGCCGCCTACGATTTCGAGTTGTAGACGAATACTAATGACTGCGTGGAGACGTCTTTGGTACCCACCTCTGGCGTAGTTTTTGACGTAAGAGTGCGGGTGATACTTGGACTCGATGAGGTTGTTGGCAGCGTAGAATTCGGGCGAACTTTCTAAGTATTGGGGTTGGTGGCCGGCCTCCAAAGCTTGGTATTCGTGTTCTTCGGGCGAATAATGTGACGTTTGGAAGAGGTGAGATTGATCTTCGCTGTTCATCGATTGTAGGTTGTCCATTCCGCTGCCGAAATTTCCAGACTCGTTCGGCGAACATGAACTCTTGAAACCTTAAAAAAACACACAAAATCAAAATAGAGAAAAAATACTTATTAAACGGTATTCCAAATGTTAGAATTGACCATTAAATTATAATATACAGGTGCGCCAGAACTCGTGCCCCATAGAAAAATGCCATATAAAGTAAGATTCCAGGAACATGAAAAAAATGTTAAAAAATGTTATCTATAAAAATTTAGTAGTTATGAAAGTTTAATCTTTGCACTTTGACTCTATTTATTTCTGTTGGAAAAATAATTTTCCGATTTTTTTTTGCTACAGGCTATTATAAGAGGAAACAAGGAAGCTCTATCCTAAATTGTAACTCTGTTCAATGTTATTTGTCGCTTTTACTGGCAAAATTTCGGTACCTTTACTAAATAATTGTAAAAAAAACATATCAAAATCATCAGTATCATTAAAAAAATGTTAAATGTCAGAAAATAAATGTCAAACTTTTTTGACAGATAGAATTTTTTAAACATTTTCTCCATGTACCTGGTATCTTATTTTACTTACAAATTTTCTCTGGGGCGCGAGTTCTGGAGCACCTGTATATTAAGTACATATGGCGTGATTCAAAAGGACCATAGGTACAATCACTCGTGTTCTTTTTAAAATCATCAAATTACTCTCAAAACTTTCCTAGGTAGATAAGTTCAACTGATGAAAGTCTTCACAAATGCAACTTTATATTAATTTTTTATTCATTATGGACAGTAATTTTGTCTTATTGTAGGAGATGTCAGAACATGTCAGAATATATTCAGAATTTTTAAATATTCATATTTTGAAAACCACACAGCCTAGAAAAAATATAAAAGCAAATCTGAGCTTCTATTAACGTTTTATACCACCATCTAAGAGAATGTACAACTCTTTTAAATCGTGTATTACAAAAAAAATATTTTGAGTCGGCAGTGTAGTAGCCCTGCTTATATCTTTTTTTTTAGTAAGTACAAGTTTAAATGCAAATTTTTATCTTATAGGTGAAAATTATATTACATAGGTATATAGGTAAACCTTTACAACAATTTAAAATTGATCAAAGAACTTATGAACATATTTAACCTTTATTACATTGATAAATAATAAAAAAATATGTCTATTAGGTATCCCACAATTTATTATTCACAGTTGTTGATAACCTAATTCTAATTTTAAACCGTTTCTATTAACACTAACTTTTTCTCAGCAGTTACAAATAAAAAGAACACATTTCCTAAGCTTGAAGTCAGCCTTTTCCTTAATTCTGGTATTGACTGCTAAGATTATTAAAAAAATAATAATAAATAAAAATACATAGATACCTATTTCTGCATCTTGAAAGTTATTTTTTTTTAAACTAAAACTCAATAAAAAAAATTGAAAATAAATTCTATCCCAATTCTTCCACATAAGTTGTCAAAAAATATTTGGTGCCTACTACGTAATACCTACCCACATATTACATTATGTATTAAAAATTTTATTTTTAAATAAGTTATGTGTATGTACAGTTACGGAATTAAAATTTCGGGCAGTATTGTAATTTTCATAATGTAAACTCTAAAACAACCTTTACATTAATAACCTCATTTTTTACTCTTGTCATGGCTATGTCAATTTGACTTACATATTTACTTTCAAAAATAGTGATTTGTGGCATTACAACGGGTAGGCAGCAGATCAAAGCAATGATTTAATTACACTTAGTTCACTGACAGAAAAGTTTAATTGTCAAATGTCAGGCATGATGACAGTAAAAGGTATTTTACGGTGAACTTCTTGAAGTGGCAGAAAAATACTGCCCGAAATTTTAATTCCGCAACAGATGTACATATAATTTCATGTTTATTTGTATAGTTTGGAACTTCTGGCTTAAATGAATAAAGAAATCAAAAGAAAACCACTTTGTTGAATCAACTTACCATCCTTTAGATGGTGGTAGGCAGGACTTCTTTGTATGTGCAGGAACCCCGAGGGAGGTCCCGGCGGTGGCGGTGAGCCTTCCTCCCGGATCTCGTCGGCGGGGGGACACGCCGGACTCCTCAATTGACCGTACCCACCTGCAACGCACAATCGAATTAGCTGAATCGCAGCCAAATGCGACAATAGAACAATGCAAATAAAGCGATCGCGGAGGCTGAGGTTGGCAAGATGACCGTGCGGTCGGATTGGCTTGCGATGATCCGCCTCTCGTCGAGAGTGGCTAACTGGGAGGCTGACCACGCCCTCCATCTCCCGTTGGTCCATATCACCGATCCCAGCCTTCTGCATATCGAAATGTGATTTATGAACCAATTGACTTTATTCGCCGATCAGTGGCTTGTACCGGAAGACTCTTATGGGCGATTGGATCTCTGGTTAAGATCGCTCATGGGTTGGGTTATCGAGGATGTCCGGTGTTAACACGAAACTGTTATTGAATATTAATTATAGATCGTGCAACAAATACTCATCTTAATGACTGTGATAGATAGTGAATAAATTTATTTTGTTTGAAGGATGTATCCTTCTTCCTCTTGATGTTAGAAGACGTGATCAAGAGCGTTGACAGTTTGTGGTGCGAATGTGAGCATCCGTAGCACTTTTGTTTGCTTGTTTTATTAAAACGAGAGGTTATGAGGCTAAATAGATTTTATAGGTTCGATTCGAGTCGCCATTGTATGATAATATACTCGTACTTAGTTGTGACGTTGATGCAATGTTTTCTGAGCATAATAAATGGATCCCAAATTGTCGATGATTGTATTGTAACAATGGAAACAGTTGTTACTTTTTTGTTAAATTGTCTTAACAGCAAGTTACGGTTCGTTTTATATGAATAATAATGCATGATAGAAGTAATGAGCAAAATGGTGAGTTATACTAATGCTACGCGACCAATCAGTGATGATGCTGATGGAAAATAACTACTTATTTAGCATCAACGTGATCAATGTTAGTAACATTTTTTGAAAACGGGCACATATTGTAACAAAAAATATATTTTCGAAATATTAAGTTATTGGAGAAGAAAAACTCTTTGATAACAAATGAATAACAAAAGTTTATGTAAAGATTAAAAAATCTCATTCCTCAGCTATATCTATTTTATCTAACGCACAAAATTTTTTAGCAAAAAAAAGAGTAAATATTTAGATAGACATCTTCATTATTGCCAAACCGATATTTGAAACATACAGGATGATTCAATTAAGATGTCAGACCTGACTGTTTTACACGTGAACTTTAACGGTCCTACCAGTAGTAAATGACTGAATACTTATACGTTTATCTACTATGTATCTGCTAAGTACTAGGTATATAATTTTCAATTGCGAGCTACCGTTTAAAAGCCATCAAGTTAGTTGTTTTAGACGAATCACCTTGTACTATATTTATATCAACCTATTTGACATGAAGTCTAAGATAAAAAAAGAAACATTTTCTATTGAAGTATTTGTCAAAATACTTCATAATAACCAATCGCGATTGAGCTATGGCGAAACGCAGTCTGAATATTGAATAAACACATCAACTTATCTTTATTATAGGTACAGGGTAGGTATTCCGTTTTTATTGCTACAAATTTAAACAGGTGATAGAATAATTAATTGTAAGCCAAATTTTCCTATGAACATGTATGAAAAATGCTATGTAAGTGAGCTATATCCCATGAAAGGGGTGTGTTTTGTAATGAGTTCTTTAGAATATTATTTTCAAATTAGATAAAAATTACAATATTTAGTATAACTAATAACTTTAACACACCTAAACAAATCCAAAGATCAAATGTCGAAATTTGTAATCAGGCGTCCAAAACTCGAGGAATATAAAAACTGTTTTTTCGCCAAAGCGTTCTTACTTTTACCATGACATTTCCCAATGTTGTATATTTCTAGTCATCCTTCATTCTAGTTAAATCAATATACACTTTCAAAAATCCTAACACAAATTTCGTTATGTTTTCATTGCAAAGCATCCTGATTAATTTGTTCATTTACTTTGTAATTATAACGTTGCTCTTTACTCTCGATCTGAATACGTTGGGGATAAAATAGTGATAAAAAAGTGATACTTTATGCGGTGAAGCGGAACATTTATTTTGCCGAACGCAGCGAGGCAAATAATTCAGCTGAGCTTCATAAACTCACTTTTATTCTAAATAACATAATATACTATTTAAATACACTTGTGACGTTATTTTACAACTTAAACAATTTTTGTATTTTCTGACAGAACGCGCTTAAGCAGGTAGTTGACAAGAAATTGGTTTCCTATTCTTGAATACCTATGTGATAAAATATAGGTAAACATGTGCATGTTTTTTTTTGCAAAAATTGTTTAACACATGCTACGTAATTTTTTAAGGATTTTTTTTAACCTTTGCAAAACACTGAAAGTGTTTACTTGTTTTGTATTATTTGTGTAGGTACTCAGTGAATTACATTTTGTTTACAATTTATCAAACAATAATAAAAAAAAATATTTGAAAAATTTTATAAAACAATTTCAGTGAATAATTTTTTTGTTTCATAGACACCAACGCTTATAAAAACATAAAAAAAACTGAAAAAAAGTATCGCAATGGGATCAAATGAGCTACGCCGGGTATGTCAATGCTAATTAGCAAATCGATTATCGTAAGTTTAAAGAGGTACCTACAAACCAATAATTTACGATCTCACGCTAAGTAAATAATTATCTACACTTGGATACTTTAACGGAGTAGATAGCAGTAACTTTAAAATTTTCTAATAAAAGGTTATCAACATAAATAAAACACTACACCCTATAAATTGCTCCAGTTTGATCACTTGTGCGTGATTAATCATCAGCAGTTGCTCCTCCCTTCTACAACTCTTAAGTTCTACTGTTTTCCGCTTTCTTCCTAATTATTAACCTCAGTTTGCATTAATCTTAGAGTGCGGTACCTAAATACCTTTGCCTGTTCCATTACTCTATAAAAAATACAATATTTATTTGTTTATAGTGTAGTGAGCTACACTCTGTATATAATTAGAAAAATATAATTTCTACACGCTCTAAAATTAGCATAAACACTACCTACTTCATCTCAAATTAACATTTATCTTACTAACTCGTATTTAAGTCTTCAATTCTACTAATTCTATCTTGGTTTCGGTATTACTTTTTCACGTAAAAAGTGTTTTGGACAAAGTCACAAAACAAAACTTGATCAAAATTCCATGATTTTACTCGTAAAAAAAATTTTTTTTTCAAATTTACATTAATAGTCTCGCTCTCATTTCAATGAAAAAACAGCAACTGTTAATTAACACTAAAATCATATTAATAATCTGTTAAAAAAATTGAATTGAAAAGTAAAAATATTTTGTAATGTTGTTAACACACACTTTTTTGTTTCCTTTTTTACATCAGGATGCTTCTCTCCCGCGGAATCATCGTCCCGAATGTACCTTAGATACTTATCACATTCCCGCGGAATCATCTCCCCACCTTACTTACCACATTTATTATTCGTTTTAGTCAAGGTACAACGAAACCAGTATAATAAAAATGAACTAAATTAAGCAACAAAAGAGGTAATTTCTCCCCGTACCATGTGTCGCATTACAAGTCTAATTAGCAATATCATCGATTGTAAGAAGCCTAATAAAACAAGCCTTAACGAGTACATTACGCACGTAATTAATAAAACCTCAACGAGTGCCTCCGAACCGGAATAATAAAGCGAAATGTAACCAATGTAATTCAATAAAACGCTGGGAATAACCACAAATTGATTGTAGCATAAAACCTAAACAAGAAACCACCAAACCGGTACCGGCAAGCCGAAAATAAAGCCGATCGAGATAATTCCGTAACCCATTCATCACCTTTATGGGCTACATTAGAAAAACATATGTAACACATTTGTGTACATCAGTTTTTTGCACAAGAATTTAAAATTTTATAAAGAAAGCTGTCTTCTTTGTTGCTGTAATATTGTGACATTTTACAATTTTATATTAAGTACCTATACAATAATTAGGGTTTTCTATTTCGAGATTTCGATGTAAAAGTGCAACTAAAAGTAAAATTACAACCAAAACGTTTTTCAGAGCGTGGAGCAGCCGCCAACCTTGGCCCATATCCGACTCCGAATCGTCCACTTCGCTGTCATGCACTTCCGGCAAAAGCTCGCAGAATGCGCCGTCGAGAAAAATCGCGTCTATAATACATCAGTGAGCATTCCAGAGCAGCTCGTTTAATCAGCGTGCAAGTGTTTCGCTCGAGAATTCTTCGCATTTTCTATTGGCTAATTGGTCGATAAACCCGCCGATGCTACATCCATCTATAGCTTGGGTCTTTTTAATCGTTTTCGCGAGGTTTTACTGTTAAATTAATTTGCTTATGCAAATCAGTCGCAAGGCATGCAATGAATATAGATCGAGTTATAGATCATCGTTTGGCTTGTGCCGATTAATTTCAAATGATGTGGTGTTCAAGAACGGCCGTGTTCAAGCCGCCGCTTGACAGGGGAGATGTTGGTTGGTAGTGGCGAGGCCGATCTTGCAACTTTTCAGTTAAAAATATAAACTGGTGTGTGAGACAGGTGCTAGTTTAACAGAACCACCTGCTTGGTCAACAACTTGTGTTTTACAGAGAGAGTCAGAGAGATAGGATCGAGCGGGACGTTTGCTCTATAATAGTGGCGCGAGGAATGTCAAAGTTTCAACAGTTTCAGCTGTAATTGTAAAAATTCGGATCAATTTATTTGATGAAAACTATTAAAAGATGGAATAATAAATGTTCATTGGAAAATAAGCAGGTTTATGGCAACTAAATTAGCACATCCTGGTGATGGTGCAGTTAAAACAACAATTTTCTATATTTTTCTATTTTAAAACTAAATATCAACACATTTTAACAATGAAAGATGTACACAAAATGGAAATTTGAGGCATTAGTTTATGACCGATAAGTTTCTTCATTGTGACAGTGAACTTTAGGTAATTAAATTTATGTTAAACAATGTAATAAAAGGCTATTAAATTGTGAGTTATTGTTGAATGTTTTCAGAAAACAAAGAAACTTTCAGAAATGGCAAGAATGCAAA